TGACCCTCCCCACACCAGGACTGAAGTTCTAACCCAGGACCTCATATAGATATTAATTATGACATTTTCATGAATATACACCATTTTGATCATCTATAAACACACCTAACACTGACATTCTTACTTCCCCTTCTTCTCTGAGCTAACCTAAGCTGTGCAGAGGGTAATATAGATGTCTCATTGCTAAATCCAACAGCACTTCCTTTCAGCACTCTGACCACTCATGAGTCTCTGCAGTTAAGTACTGGCTATTACAAAGAGAAGCTTCTCTGACTGGAGCGTGCTCCACCTATCTGTGACATGAATATATGTATAAGGCAACACACATTGTGTCTGCTCAGCAGAACAGCAGCAGCCTCCCCCTAAGCCTATGACCTCTCCAGCTGTGGCCTGTGACTAGGTTTACAATCCCAGATGTGAATTCCTACCTATGGAATGGGCTGAAAATACAATTAGCAAGTGGTTTGTTGCCCTTGTAATAAATTACACTGTTGCATAAGACAGCACACCTTGCCTGGTGGTTGGTACTGTTGTATTTCTCCGTGTTCTACAACCATGACGTATAGCATCTTTGGTAATGGAATCTTATTGTCTAGTTCTGGTGGACATTCAAGGACAATGGCAATTGTTGGTATTGGTGAGGGGTGGGTGGCTTGAAAATTTTAAACATGTATACAATGAAGTATGATTATTCCCCTTTTTCTCTTTCCCTATATACCCTCCAAAACATTGCACCCTCAACTTTTTAGGTTTTTTGAATCAGTGTTTCTTTGTGAGCCCTGGCAGTCCTGGAACTTTCTCTGTAAACCAGGCTGGCCTATGAACTCAGAGATCCACCTGCCTCTGCCTCCCGAATGCTGGGATTACAAATGTTCAACACCATGCCCCACTCAAATTTTTTTTTTCCAGACAGGGTCTCACTGTGCAGTCTTGACTGGTCTACTATTTGCTATGTAGACGAGAGTGGCCTTAGACTCAGAGATTGCCTGCCTGTGCCTCCAGAGTACTAAGATTAAAGGTGTGTGCCACACCACACCTAGCCTGTTTTTGTCATTCTTTTATTATCTTTATAACCTTCAAAGAACAGTTAATGCTGCCCATAAATGTAGGGCATACTTGTGGGATCATCCACTGGAAAGGGGATTCCTACCAGTGGCCACATCTTCAGAAAAGAATGACTTCCCTTCATCCCCAGAGCAATTATCAACTGCCAGTAGCACGTCAGTAAGGGGTGGGAAGATAACCTACCCCATCTATACCATAATTTCTTCTGACTTGATCTTGTTGAGGTCTTGTGCAGATAGTGAGGTGCTGTGAGTTTACTTCGCTCCTCTGTGCTCTGCTGCTCAGTGTTTCCACTTCCTCTTCCCAGACGGTCCCGAGCCTTGGGGGTGGTGTGTGGTAGTGTTCATTTGCTTTTTTACTAGTTTATCAAGTATTAGAGTTTCTTACAGTTTTTTATACATCATTGGTTTTGGTTTAACCTCTCCCACTCCTTCCTGCCGTTAGCTCCCTGCACTCTCCCCACTTAGACCTTTCCACTTCCAATATTTATTTATTCCCGTCCCACTCATATCACAAACATTCTACTGCCCTCCCCATCTGAAGTAATCTCCCCTTTTTGATATTATAATCCCCCTTCTAGTTTCCAGATACGTTCTCACTCCCACATAAATGCACATACATAGAATTTTTTTTTTTTTTTCCGAGGCAGAGTTTCTCAGTATTGCTTTGGAACCTGTCCTGGAACTTGCTTTGTAGACCAGGCTGTCCTCAAACTCACAGAAATCCGCCTCCTGAGAGCTGGGATTGCAGGCATGCACCACCAATGCCTGGCTAAGGTCTACATTTAAAAGAGAACGTGTGTTTGTCTTTCTGAGCCTGAGCTCTTCCCTTAATACAGTATTTTGTAGTTCCATCCCTTTCCCTGCACATTTAATAACCTTAGTTTTCTTTATGTCTGCATAAAATTACATTGTGTCCATGTACTGCATTTTTATTATCCTTCGGGAGCTGGTGGACATCTAGACTGGTTCTATTTCCTTGCCCTTGTGACTAGAGCAGCAGTGAACATAGACCTGCAGGTGTCTGCCCTTGACAGATTGATCTATAATGAACAAAGAGCTACATCTGGGTCTCGAGAGATGATGGCTGAGTCGTAAACAGCACTGACTGCTCTTCCAGAGGACCCAGGTTCAATTCCCAGAACATGGCAGCTCACAAATCATCTGTAACTCCAGTGCTAGGGAATGCCATGTCCTCTTGTGGGCTCTCTGGGCACCAGGACACATGTGATGCACAAACATATATGCATGCAGAACAGCCCTGTACATAAAGGAGAGAGAGCTGTGTGAAGGTACTGTTACCCTGTAGCCAGTTTGGTTTTCCCTGTAGCCAGTCTGGACCCATCACCATGTCAGCCACAAATAACACACTCAGAGATGCTGTATTTGATATAATGGTGTTGGCCAGTTAATAGTTTCTTATCGGCTAGCTCTGTCTTAAATATTAACCCATTTTTGTTAATCTAAGTATTTCCACGTGGTCTCATTTTACTGGTGAGTGGGACCGGCCTCTGCTCTCTCCTGTCTCTACATGCTGACTCCTCCCTACTACTTCCTCTCTACTCCTAGTCTCCTAGTTCCACCTATCTTGCTTTCCTATTGGCCAACAGTGCTTTATTCATTAACCAATAAGAGAAACATATTTACAGAATGACATCTCCCATTAAGGTACCTTTAAATATGTCAGTGTGCAAGAACTAAGTAATGGTAATGTAGACCAATTTGACCAATTTCACGTGAAGGGTTTCACGAGATGTGACCTAAGCGGGGTGCAAAGTGTTCATCCTTTATCTTGGCTACTTGGGAAGCTGAGGCATAAAGACTGAATTCAAGACTGGCTTGGACTATAGAATGAGACACTTCCTCCAAAAGTTAGTCAGTTGAGTAATTATCAATAATACCTACAGGAACACTACAACAAACCAGGGTTTTTTATAGTTAGGGCTGCAAGTCTATTAATCTCAAAAGGTAATGTAAATTAATTTAGGACTTGCTCATCTTTGCTTTATTGTCTTAAATATGAAAGCAGATGTAAATGGAAATATTGTGTGACAAGATAGCCTGTTTTGTTTATTAGCAGGACTTTGTTTAGCAGCTCTTAGTTTATTATAAGAACTTGATATGCTGATGCTTAGCAACACAGTGTATTCCTATGTAATTTCAATGTATATACATGCACATAATTTTCATGGCAAATCTAAGTCCTTGATGGCTTCCTTGATGGATTGTGGAACCCCAGACTGCCCCACCATTGTGTCCCTTGCTCTGTCACCTAAACAGAAGAGGAAGCACTTCTGCTCTCGGAGGACCTGGATTCTGTCCCCAGGGTTTTCATGGTGGCTCACAAGAACTACAGTTCCAGGTGATCTGTCATGCTCTCCTGGCCTCCACAGGCACTGCACGAATGTGGTGTGCTCATTATGCAAGCAAAGCACTTATTTGCGTAATCATGAATAGATCTTAAAGAGAAGGGAAAATACTTCAGCAGTAATGAGATGGTGGGTACACAAGATAATAATCAAGTTAGGACTGGAGGACCAACAGCATCTCTTCCCATCAGTTTGTCTGTAAGTAGATGGTGGCGTGGGAAGAACATACGCATTGTGGTTGGAGTTGAGCAAAGCCATGGACTCTGGTTCTGTCATTGATCACTCTATGGACCAGCTGCATAGCTCGTTACAAGAAGCAATTAAGGCCACAATGTGGTGATACATGGATATAGCCTAGCACTATGGAGGGTCAGGGTCAGGAGGCTAAGGATTGTCATTGGTTCTAGTGAAACCTGTCGTGTGTGTGTGTGTGTGTGTGTGTGTGTGTGTGTGTGTGTGTGTGTGTGTGTGTGTGTGTGTCTCGGGGGATCATAATTCTAAGACGCAAACAGTAGTACCTGAATCTTTGTGCTCTGTAAATACAATAAGGCCCTGATGTAAGGAGTAAGGTTTTTCCTCCGCTACTTCCCTCAAATAATTTATCTCTGGGTCTGACAGCCAAACACTGTAGGCTGAGTGTTGAAAATGTGGGAGTTAATTTCTTGTACGACATTGTACCAATAGTTCATAATAGTTAATGAACTAAGATTTAATGAACTAACTTAATAACTACTGTCTTACTGTCTTGGAGTTAATATTGCTGTTGATGAAACATCATTGTCAAAAAGCAGATTGAGGAGGAACACGTTGATTGACAGGAGCTGTGCAGAGGCCATGGAGGAGTATTGGTTGCTGGCTTGCTTCCCATAGGTTTCTCAGCCTGCTTTCCTACAGCTTCTAAGACCTCCAGCCCAGGAGTGACACTACCCACAATGGGCTGGGCACCTCCCAATCAACCACTAAGAAAATGCCCTACTGGATTACCTACAGCCTGATCTTTTGTTGGCATTTTCTCAATAGAGGTTCCCTGAGTTGACTCCAGCTTGTGTCAGGTAGACATAGAAACTAGCAAGTAAGCCAGGCATGGTGGCACATGCCTTTAATTCTGGGAGTACTTGGTGTCAATGCCAAGAAAGTAACTAGTAACTTGGAGCAGCTTGTGCAGGCACCCTTTACACACCTTGGTCCTCTTTAAGCACTCCATATTGTGTGTTGTCAGAGTAATGAGAAGGGCCGTTGAGCCACATCAGTTAGAAAAGTAGTAAGTATGCAGTGCCCAGACGTAGGTACCAGAGGAGGACCTAAGACGTAAGGGTCAGTAAAATAATTCAGTTTTGCTTTTAAAATGATTCAGCAAGGAAAGGTACATCTTTTCCTACAGCATGTACATGGCCAGGAAGAATACAACCAAAAATAATAGTTTGGTGCCAGTTCCTTGGCTCACAACAAATCACCAGCAGTCTTACCCACCATTGCTTTTATGCCATCAGTGTAGACATTGGTGTGGTGAAATGACACTGTTTCATGTAGTACTCTCCCACTAAGTAAGTTCATGCCCTTCCCGCAGATCCTAATTATCTCATGGCTAACGAACGAATGAACCTGATGAACATGGCAAAGCTGAGCATCAAGGGCCTCATCGAATCGGCCCTGAACCTGGGGCGGACCCTGGACTCTGACTACGCACCCCTCCAGCAGTTCTTTGTGGTGATGGAGCACTGTCTGAAACACGGCTTAAAAGGTGGGTCCTGGCCTCAAGGTGCAAATTTGCAACCAGCCCTTAGCAGTGCCTAGCTGGAAAGAGAGAAGCCAGAAATAACAATCGTGGATGAATAGTATTAACGGGCTTGGCATGGTGGCTCACACAGTTACTTCCCAGCACTTATGAGGAAAAGGTAAGCAGATTTCTGTGGGTTCAGGTCTAGACCGTCTATAGAGCAAGTTTTGTGCTAGCCAGATCTACATAGTAAGAGACCCTGTCTTTAAAAAAAAAAAAAAAAAAAAAAGTGGAATATAACCTATATAGGAGCAGAATTGTAATTGATTAAAGGACTGGTGGTGCATAAAAGTACACTGTCTTTTGATGTTAGAGTTGAAAGGGCCTTTGTAAATAAGCAAATCAAGATGGCTGCTCCATCTGATTGACAGGGAAATAGACTGCCCGGTCACAAGTTGGGGCAGAGCACTCAGGAGGCAGAGGCAGGCGGATCTCTGTGGATTTGAGATCAGCCTGGTCTACAAGAGCTAGTTCCAGGACAGGCTCCAAAGCCACAGAGAAACTCTGTCTCAAAAAACAACAACAACAACAACAAAAACCAAGTTGGGGCAGAAGGGGTGCTGTAGTCAGGTTTCCTGATCTTCTCACTTAACCAGTTTTGGGGTAGCCCTGGCCTGTCTCCTTAGTTTCCTTCTGTTCTCCTTTTTCAGGGTCTAGTTTTCCATTGGGCTATGTTTTTCACCAATACTATGTGGTTTTAAGTACTAAACCATTAAATATTATTAAAGCTAGATCACACATTCTTTTTCAAGTTAATTTTATTTTTATGTATACAAGTATTCTGTCTGCATGTGCGCCTGTGCACCATGCTTATGGCTGGTACCCACAGAAGCCAGAAGTTGGCATCCAATCCCCTGGGACTGTAGTTACAGACAGTTGTGAAGTGCTGTGTGGGTGCTGGGAGTTGTATACAGGTCTCCTACAAGAATAGCCAATACTTTAATTGCTGAGCCATCTCTCCAGCCCTAATAACAAATTCTTCTTTAAAAAAAAAGAAGAAGAAGAAGAACTGAGTCTTGGAAGTACAGAATTTTATTTTATTTTTTTTAATCTATTATGAAATCATGATTTCTACATGTGTTTCTGTGTATGTGGTATGTATATATCTGGGTGCACATACGTATGCGCACTTGTGTGTGTGAAGGCCAGAGATTGATGGTATCTTTTTTCTAGTCTCCATTTTATTTACCAGCAAAGGGTCTTTGGCAGTCTGGAGCTCACAGACTCGGCCAGTGAAGCTAGTCAGTCTGCCCAAGGATTCCCTGTCTCAGTGCTCTGCGTGCTAGGATTACAGGCCAGCCACCATGCCCACCTGGCTCTTACACGGGCTTCAGAGATCCAGCTCTGGTCCCACTTGTGTGTCAGACACTATCCACTGAGCCATCTCTACGACCTGCATGAATAATTTTTAAACTAATATCCTAGGATTGGATACCTAGACAGAATGATGAGAGAAGGAAGGAGGGAGTGTGGATACATGTGCAAGCACATATGCACAAGCACCTTCGTGAGTATGTAGTATATTTATGTTGTAAAGATTATTAAAATACTGTTTTGTTTTGTTTCCCTAGCCAAGAAAACTTTCCTTGGACAAAACAAATCCTTCTGGGGGCCACTAGAGCTGGTGGAAAAGCTCGTTCCAGAAGCTGCAGAGATAACAGCAAGTGTTAAAGATCTCCCAGGACTTAAGTAAGTCTTGGGCTGAGTTTTCTTTCTCTCCTGGAAGAAGGGGGCTAACAATAATGTGCACATTTTTAGGACAATCCACATTTGTAATATTGTTACCACTAGAAGCTGTTAAGGTTGCCTTCATGTTAAAATACCAGATAATCACTGTGTTATTACAAAACACAGTTGTAAATCAAAAATCTTAAGAAATTTGACTAAGGAGATGTTATGACTGACTTGATTTCAGAAAACAACTGTATGCCATGGGTTTTAGAGCCAAGATTAAGTGAACTTCAGGGCCTGCCTTCTAACTTGGGAAAAAAAAAATACAGATTCATCTTCCACAGGAAACTGGTCTAATGTTAGTTGAATGAAAGCACACATTGCCTGTGTCCCTCTGAGTATCCAGCTTCTTACAGAACCCACTCTAAACCTAGGCTTCATCAAATAAACTGATGATACAATTCCAGGTGGCTGAAGAGTGTTCTGGTCTTCAGCACATTTACGTACTAATGCAATGCAAGATCATTTGTTCCAAACACCCAAGACTCACGATCCCATTTGAAATTACATGTGCAAGAACAGGTGTGTTGCTGCTGTAAGACCATTGGCAGGAGCACGTCTGTCCCACACTAGACCCATCCTGCTGTCTTTCCTTGTCTTCTTAGTCACTTGGCTTCTGTGCTCTTGTAGGACACCAGTTGGCAGAGGAAGAGCCTGGCTTCGTTTGGCATTGATGCAGAAGAAGCTTTCCGAGTATATGAAAGCCTTGATCAACAAGAAAGAACTTCTCAGGTATGAACATGAGTCACACTTCCTTCTTGGCATGTTCTGCCAATATCATACAAAGTCCATTCATAGAAACTTGCTGACTGTATAGGACAGAAATGCTCGATATGTAACACTTTTCATTAGTTTTCTTTACCACACCTCACACACTCACTATAGTCCCAAAGGGATGTTTTGTATATTGTGTGTTCTCTGTGACTGTGGCTATATGTGGTCCTTTGTTGGGCAGTTCAGAACTCTTCACCACCAAAAAACAAGGGAAGCTTATGACTCTGTTGTTTGTGGGGCTGCAGTCGGAACCAGCCAAGCGGACCCAAGTCTGTACCTGAGTGAGGGTGGGTGAATGAGGGAAAGGCTAGCTAGAGATGATAAAGAAAAGACAGAGACACAGAATAAAAATCAGGAGGACAGATCAGTCAGTACTGAAATGTCACGAGTTTATTTTTCATCACTCTTATATACCTTAACCAAAAAGGGGAACACGGTATCATGTATATGAAACAAACAGACTTTTCTTCTCACTTATTCTGTGAGTTCAGTAACCATACCTCAGATTCAACTTCTCGTTCCCTAGCCTTGAGGGTCAGGAATAGTCATACCTCAGATTCAACTTCTCATTTCCCTAGCCTTGAGGGTCAGGAGTAGCCACACGTCAGATCAGGGCTGTTATTTAGAATAAGACAACCAAACACCCTACTTTAGCCACACCTTTGACCTTTAGGTCTTATGACTTGCTGAGGACACTTTTGAACTCTCTGTCCTTGTGCCAGGATTGAGTGCAGCCATCTTTATGGGCACCAACAATGCCCTTCCCACATAATGACCCTGTAGCCTGTGCATGGACCCAATAGGACAAAAAGTTGACATTCATTTCATATGTACCATTAAAAAAATTCACATAGATCATGAGTTGCCTTGGTTACATAGCAAATCACCATCCACAAAACAGATACAGCCATAATGTTAAAAATAAAAGGCATCCTACAGAGTGAAGGAGATGTTTGTAATAATTGTTAAATAAATATATACATGTTTAATGCCTTTAACGCTAACACTTGGGAGGCAGAGGCAGGAGGATCTCTGTGAGTTCAAGGCCAGCCTGGTCTAGAACATAAGCTCTAGAACAGCCAGGACAACATAGAAAGACTGTCTCAATAATAATAATAATAATAGTAATAACAATAATTCTACTAAGTAAAAAAATACAAACATATAAAGACAGAAAATTTAAACTTCAAAAAGGAAAAGTTAGCTGGACCGTGGTGGTATAGCCCTTTAATCCCAGCACTTGAGAGGCAAAGGCAGGTGGATATCAGAGTTCCAGGACAGTCAGTGCTACACTGAGAAACCCTGTCTCAAAAAAACAAAAACAAAAAAAGCAAAAGATGTGTGACCTCACCAGCCATCATAAGATAAAGAATTTTTTTTTTTTTTTTTTTTTTTGGAGACAGGGTTTCTCGGTGGCTTTGGAACCTGTCTTGTAACTCACTCTGTAGACCAGGCTGGCCTCAAACTCACAGAGATCCGCCTGCCTCTGCTTCCTGAGTGCTGGAATTAAAGGTATGCACCACCAACACCCAGCCAGAAAAAGAATTCTTATCTCCTGTGCCCTGCATGTGCAGGTGCTCATGCACACACATACGCACACATACACACACATACACACACACACACACACACACACACACACACACATGCATACACATACACATGCACACACACAGGCGTATCTTGGTCTTTCAAAGTTTTCAATTTGCTTTAAGGCTCATTCTTGTGCTGTATATTCTGGTATTTCTGAAAGTGTGTCATTGCTCTACCTACATAGGCCGCTCTCATTCCACTCAACTCCTCATCATTTTCCTGTCTCCTTGGTTTTGCCTTTACCAAAATATCAGCTAGTTAGATTCATAAATATATACCCATTTCTCTTAGTAATATACACTTAAAGTGTTCCATGATTTTTCATGGCTTAGGAAATCACTTTTAGTGCTAAATATTATTTCATTTCTCATATGTATTTTTATTCATCTTAGTTGCTTCTAAGTTTTAAATAACACTGCTGTCAGCACTCCTGTGCAGGTTTTTGTGTGAATGTAGGCTTCCATCGTCTTTGAGTGAATGCTAAGAAATATAGTTGTTAGATCATACAGTGAGTTTTTGGATAATAGAAGTGTGTTTAATCATCTGTGGGTTTTGAAGACTCTCTGCCAATTCATAATTTTCTAGATACTTGAGGTGTTTGCTTTGCTTCCTTTGTTTCTGGGTTCTGTGGTGGCGAAAAGTCTAGGCAGCCTGTTCCAGCGAGGAGCTGGCTAAAGAAAGGGAGTTTGCTAAATAATTACATAATACAGCAGGATACTATAGAACCAATGTAGGGCTGGAGAGATGGCTCAGAGGTTAGGCGCACTGGTTGTTCTTCCAGAGGTTCTGAGTTCAGTTCCCAGCAACTACATGGTAGCTCACAGCCACCTATAATGAGATCTGGTTCCCTCTTCTGGCCTGCAGTGCAGGCATACATGCATGTAGAACACCCTCTGCATAATAAATAAATAATTAATAAATAAAAAACAATGTTAACAAAATTATAGGAAATTAATTTTGAAATGGCTATTTTTAAGTCACAAACTATTTTCAATTTAATTATAATGGTATAATTGCTCTTTTGTTAATTATGACATAATTGTATATGTGATATGATATACATATTACAAATGTATATGTATTTCATAAGTTATCAAACTTCTTAAGTCATTAGTAGATGGAATTAAAAAGCTTCATATGTGTTTCTTTTACTTTCTTTTTTTGTAATAAGAATTAATTTTACCTAAGTCCTAAAGGAAATTATTCTTTAAAACTTAGAGATCACTTTTAGGCTATTTATAGTACATGTTATTTGGTTGGCAACTGTATTGCTGGGATGGGGCTTGCTGGCAGATGGCTTGTATAACATTCAGAAAGATCGGGGACCAATCACTAGCAGAGCCTCATTTTCTAGCCGTATGTGTGTTTGTGTGTATGTGATATTTTGCATTTTATAGTATTTTTTCACTCATGAAAGAAGTACTTAAAGTATAATTGAAGAAAATAATCTTTTAAAGTAAAGAATGTTTCAGCTGGGCAATTAGTGGCACATGCCTTTAATCCCAATGCTCGGGAGACAGAGGAAGGAGGGTCTCTGTGAGTTTGAGGCCAGCCTTGTCTACAGAGTGAGTGTCAGGACAGGTGCCAAAGCAATACAGAGAAACCCTGTCTCAAAAAACCAAAAAGAAAAGGATGTTTTAAAGAGGTGCATGGACCCCTGCAGCATTGTCTCATGGTGCACCATGACCACAGACCAGTCAATGGAGTCTGTATATTTGCCTCAAGCACAGTAGCTCCCAGTGGCTTCTGGCCCAGCTCTCTAGTATCTCCAGGGTTTACTCTCATGCCTGTTACCAGTCTACTTCTAAAAGCATTCCCAGAGATGCCATGTTCATCTATAGGATGGCAGGTTTTCTCCTTGCCTCCTGTCTCATTGGAGTGCTGAGGTCTCGCTGTGACAGTGCTCTGTGGGTTTCTGTTGCAGTGAGTTCTATGAAGCCAATGCCCTCATGATGGAAGAAGAAGGAGCTATTATTGCTGGTCTTCTGGTGGGCCTGAATGTCATCGATGCCAACTTCTGCATGAAAGGAGAAGACCTGGACTCTCAGGTATGGGAAACTCTCTTATAACCAATGGTGCCTCTGCATCCTGTCTCCTCAGGTCCTGGACTGATTAGGTCACACCAACCAAGTTGGAAGACATTTTGAGCATCAGAAACAGGATTTCCTGTCATAGTGAGAAACCACTCTGCACTCAGAGAGATTAAGAAAAGGAAAGCTCTGTTGTGTGTGATTCGTTCTAGTTAAGCACAAAGGAACCAGCCTGGAATAGAAAAATTTCCCAGTTTGTATGTATGGGTCCCAGGCTTATGCAAGTTACACATATTGTCATCCTTGCATATCCTTCGGGTCTCAGCCCAGGTTACACCATGAACAGGTTCAACAGAGCTCAGAACCTGGAAGTCTGACCACTTGGGCAGATGGGAGATTCACACTGCACAGATAATGCCTGATCTCCTAAGTATACCAGTATTGTTCTTTCCCAACAGTGGGTACCCAGGTTCGTCTTACCCATGCGTCAGAATTATAGTTTTCTATCTAGAGCACAGAAGGGTTCATGGCAGACCAGGATTTAATGACAGTTGTGACTCTCTGACGGCCCTGGAGGCCCTTAGAGGCCTTAGGTTCTATGTTGTGGGATGGTCCTAGTGGATGGCAGTAAGTCAGCATTGTCTCCATTGTGGAAATGCAGCCTCACTGGAGGTCAGTCTTGGTGAACAGGCATCAGCAGACACTCTCTCAGCAACCCCAAACTTCAGTTATGGTACAAAATTTTTTTCTCTCAGTTTCTAACAAGCCTGGTCAGTACATACATTACTGTCTTCCAGTTATATTGGAGGCAGCATCCACTTAGATGAATTCACTTTCAATAACTTAGTGGTTCCCCAGCAAGTTCTTTAGTAAATCCTTCATAGCGGCAGTTGTCCTGCCCTTCATTTCAGTGTGAGTATAAAAAAATTAGATGTTTGTCTTTTTCTTTTTTTTAAATTTATTTTATATAACAAAGTCCATTTAAATGAAAACAAACATTTATAGACAATATTTGGGAATTTGGGCTTTCTTTCCAAACTACTTCCTGCTGGTAAGGGGCGCTGTCATGGGGGATTCAAAGAAGATTCAGAAATCCTGGCTGTAGTCTGTAAGGCTGCTTTGGCCAGCTGTTTTGAATGTAGGATCACCTGGTACTCTGTTTCAAGTGATCTGGCTTGATCAAACCACATTAGTCTGGAAGGAATCCACATCTTTTCATTTTCTGTGGAAACAAAAATAGAAATCCTTTTCCCCAGTAACTTGTCCTTCAACTTAAATTTTGGAGTCAAAGCATTTTTTTTTAAATTTAATTTATTATTTTACATGTCGATCCCAGATCCCCCTCCCTCCCTCCCTCCTTCCTCCCTTTTACCCTCTCTGCCCTCTCACATGCACTCTAACCACCCTCCCCCCCTTCCCTCCACCCCAATTCCATATGTAAGGGAATGCCATCCAGTTAGGGTCATGTAGATCTGACAGGTCCTGTGAAGTAGGGACTAGGGCTTCTCTCCTGTCTCTAGATTAAGGCAGTTATCCCTCCATGGGGGATGTGTTCGCAAGGTCCTTTTGTGCACCAGGGATACATCCTGGCTCCACTGTCTGAGGTTCCTTAGACTGCTCAGTCCTTCTGGCTGAGACCCATATTCAGAGGGGTCTGAGTCAATCTCATGCTGGCTTCCCAGCTATCAGTCTAGTGGCCGTTAGCTCCTCCTTGTTCAGGTAAGCTGTTCTGCCGCCTGGTCTTGTCCTCTCCATTTGCATCTGAGTTCTGAATGAGGTAACCCAGTCACAAAAAGAGGAACACAGTATGTACTCACTCATATATGGATTTTAGACCTAGATCAAAGGATCACCAGCCTATAATTCACAACACCAGAGGAACTAGGATACAAGGTGTATTCTAAGAGATTCATATAAAAAGTCCCTCACAGAACTGGGAAGGGACAAGTCCCCCAGAGCTCAGGGGAAGTGGGGGGGGGGCATCGAATGGAGAGAGAAGTAGGAGAAAACGAGGGGGAGGAAAGGAAAACATGTGCGACCGGGAAGATTGAGTCTGGTTAGGAATAGAAGACAGGAAAGAGAGAGAGAGACAGAGACAGAGAGAGCATAAAAGAGGGAGCCAATATTGGTTTGAAGATAAAATTAAACACAAAGAAAGGTCTAGAGAACTACAAGACTGCTGCCAACTAACAATTTGAGCTTCTGTGGAAAGGCTACCATAAATGCCCTTCCCGGAGAGTGAGATCAACAACTAACTTATCCATGGAGCCCTCAACTAATGCCTGTTGAAAATAGGAGCGAACACCCATACATAAACACTGAGATGTTTGTCTTTTTCAAACTCTTGCCCTGGCTGTGCTCCCTTTGCTGTAAGGGTATATATTACAGCCAGGGTAACAAAGGAATTCAGTGAACCATCTGAAGCCCAGCCATTTAGTTCCAAAGTCTGTCTTATTTCCTAGCTGAATATATCTTGTAGTGGTTTTCCAGTGCTTTCCTTTGCTTGATATGTACAGATTAAAAAAGAGTAATTAATGGGGTTACTGTGTGCAATAAAGTAATTTGTAAATACAGTTCACTTTGATCAGGGCTGTGCTTGAGTTAATTGCCCAATAATAAAGATGTTTTCACTGAGATTATTTCTCATAATGTGATGAGTTTGTTCCATTTTACTCAGGGAAAACAGGAAAGGTTATGTTGTGTGATTTGGACTTTTAAAAGAAATGAGATGTGTTATAAAGTGGAAGATTTGAGAAATGAAGAAGCCCTCAGTTAAAAGTTGAAAGAGACACCAGAGTGTTAGCAGTGGTCATTTGGAGCAGTGTATGTGGGTATTTTAAATGGCTTTTGTTTTTCTGATCCTGTGAAACATAAACAAGGGAATAGGTGTTGTTTTTGAATTATAACTACAATGTTTTTATTATTTTTTGACATCATACTGTAATGACATCACTTCTTTCTTCCCTTTCCTCCTTCTAGATCCTCTAATAACTCCTTCCTCCTCGGTCTCTTGAAGTTTAATCCCCCCTTTTTAATTGTTATTACATGCATATATATGTATGTATATATGTGTATACATTTATATATCCCTAAATATCATGTTTTCAGGGCCGACCATTTGGTATTGGATAAGCAGTTGGTGTGCTGTTCCCTGGAGGAGACTTATCCCTCCTGCTGTCGGCATTCCTTAGTGACTGTAGTTCTTTGTGTGGGCGTGGGGACTGCCCATCTGTCCCTGTCCACTTTGACATGTCTTTTGTGCTGTCCTTGTTCACCTCAGGTTTAGGAAATAATGTTGGTGGGACTCTGACTATACATTTTTAAACTATAAGACTAAGTAGAGACCACAGTGGGGAACGTGACATGCTGACAAAGATGGGGGAAGGTCAGAAGGCCACATGTGACATGAGAGTGCAAAGTAAGCCACAGGGGTGAAAGGGCACAAGGGACAAGGGACAAGTATAATGAAACCCACTTCTTTGCAAGGTCGAAGAAATTAAGTTAAGAAAATGACTTAAAATCACTTTTATAAATAACCTTTTAAAAGTTTTTTCCTAGAATAAAATAAAAAGTCAGCAGAATACCTGAGAAAGAGAAAGAAAATTTAAACCTTATTCTTCATGCTCAGGTTTCTGTTGACTGCTGTGAATTGTCTTCTCTTTTCTTTTGTTGTGTGTGTGTGTGTGTGTGTGTGTGTGTGTGTGTGTGTGTGTGTGTGTGTGTGTGCGCGCGCGCGCGCGCATGCGTGTGCGTGCACACAAGTATGTTGCTGGACATGGAAGTGAGAGTTTGTCACTGGTGGGGCCCACTGTGCTATGGAGCCACACCCTCGGCCCCTGTGACTTACTTTGGCTCTTCTAATTTCTTACTTTACCATTGTGTTCATAGTAAAATGTTAAACGTTCATCATTTAACATTTATGTTACTTTTGAATGCCTAAAAAGTAGCATTGTTTTATGTCTTGGGAATAGTATCAATTTTCTATTAACATCTGAAAATTCTCTCTGTAGGTTGGAGTTATAGATTTTTCAATGTATCTCAAAGATGGAAACAGCAGTAAAGGTAGTGAAGGGTATGTATGAAGAAAGCGTGTTTCTATTTTCTCGGATGTAGCTTATTTTGCAACAATATTGTGTTAGCAGATTTAATAGAAGAATTTTGATTATATAGTTTTAATAAAGTCTTGATAAAAAATATCTGATTACAGGGCCTATGATTAAAAAGATTTTTAGGTGAATAATTTTCCTGCTAGGTATTTCAGGGGCAGACATAATGAAGATATATAAGGTCAATACAATTCTTTATATTGTTTTGTTTTTGTTTCTTCTGATAGTCTCATACTATAGGCCAGATTGGCCTAGGGCTCCCTATATAGATTAGGCTGGCCTTGAACTCAAGGCTTCCCTGCTGCCTCTGCTTCTCAGCATAGTATTCAAACGTGTGAAATCACCATGCCCAGACAGTTCCCCACAGCCTGAAGTAGGGCTTGAAAATTTAGACAAGCTTCAAGCTTGGCATTGCTGCGCCCTTCCTTTGGAGACTGAGTCTGGATAACCAGAAACTCAAAAAAAAAAAAAAAAAAAAAAAAAAAAAAAGAGAGAGAGAGAGAAAAGAGAAAGAAGGAAAGAAAGGATAAAGAAACAAGCTAGGTATGATGACACATGCCTTTAACCCCAACACTTAAGAGGCAGAAACAGGCAGCTCTCTGCTCTCTGTGCATTCCATGACAACCAGAGCTTCATAGAGAGACCCTGTATTTAAAAAAAAAAAAAAAAAAAAAAAAAAAAAAGGCTGTGGCTGGTGAGATGGTTCAGTAGATAAGAGCATTGACTGCTCTTCCAGAGGACCCAGGATCCATCCCAAGCCCCTATATAGTGGCTGACAGCCATCTGCAACTCTAGTTCCAGGGGACCCAAGAGTACTACACTCACATAGTGCAGACATACACAAAGGCAAAAGATGCATTTATACAAAATAACTTTTAAAATATCTTGACCCTTATGAAAGCCTTATTAATGTAGGCTGTTTTTAAACCACTGACTCTTTTTGTTGATATGTCAAAATAATGATGTATCAGGTGTGACTTGTGGTTCAGTGTGTTTGTGCCCAGCAGTCTCATCGTTAGGAAAAGCTGGGATGAAAGATGTATCTTGGTATTTCTGTCACTCATCTTACTTCTGTTTCCATTATTTTTCCCTCCAGAGATGGTCAGATTACTGCAATTCTAGACCAGAAGAACTATGTAGAAGAACTCAACAGACATCTGAAGTAAAGGATGAATTTGATTCTTTTATTGGGGGTTTATTGAGAGAAAAAGGAATCATAAAAAAGGATCAGTGAAGACCATTCAGTCAGTGTTCAGTAAATGCACAGAAAATTCCATTTGCCAATCACAGAGCTAAGTACTGGATAAGTTAGGTAACTTTTAGTGGAAGGCAGTAACAAGTTATCATGAGATTGTAACTCTAGAGGTTAAGTCAGTATATTCAATTAAGAATTATAAAATGTGATACATATGCTTGATACTGGCCTTGGATACAGCCACCTACTGTAGTACTGATCTTTGGTAAACCATCTCTCTTGTCCCATGCATTTCTCACTTACACACTAAATTGGTATATTAACTTCCCTCTCTTTGCTTTCATTACCACTATTTTATCAAGCACTCATCAGATATTTCAAACTCCAGAATCACTTTACTATTCTTATGTTAAAATTGGCTTAATAATTTTAGAAGAATAATCAGCATTAACATAGCCATTAGTTACTATCTTTTTTGTAGCTTATAGAGCCTTTGTAAGATCTGTTATAAAAGCCACTCCTCCACTCCACACTCTATTTTTTTTTTTTAAATGTGGAAAGTTTATTGGGGGAAGGTAGGTGAGGAAGAGACAGAGAGAGGGAGGGAGCAAACGAGCAAGCGAGCTACCTCCTCAGAGAAATGGCAGGAAGAGATCCACTCTTTCTTGAGACAGTCTGAGCTGGCCTGGAAATTGCTATGTAGACCAGGCTGGCAGCTGGCTTTGAACTCATGGAGATCACCTGCCCCTGGCCTCAAGTGCTGGGATTAAAGGTGTGTGCCAGCAAGCCTAGCATAAAAGCCATTCTTAATTCACTTATAATGTAGATATAAGTTTCTATAGGCACAGAGGTAAACTCCCTTTACAGGTCTCTGCTCTCATTGTGGAATAATTTTAAAGTGGACTGGGAATGGAGACATCCCATGCTCTAACTGTCCTTCCAGAGGATCCAGGTTCAATTCCCAGCACCCACATGAGGACTCAAAACTATCTGTAACCCGAGTACTTCTACAGGAATAGTACTTTCTACACATGGTATACAACATACATACAGCAAAACACCCATACACGTTAGGTAAAAATTAAAAAGGACTCAAAAGGGAACTCAGGGACAATTTATTGGAATTCAAGAGAAAGCCACAGGCAGGCAAGCTGAGCTGAAGAAGGGGGAAGTTACATCTGTAACAGTATACAAGTAAAGGCCACGTTGCACACTCTAGGAAGAATGAAAAAGATCTAGGTCCTAACACAGTTCCTTGTCATTTTATTGAAGGGTGCAATCTTGCCCTTCTTCCAGAGAATTCAAGCATGGGTACTAAAGTAATGTTCTGCCCTGTAGGGCCAAACAAGGAAGAAATGTTTACTCTGGTTGTTTTATTTAGCCTCATGGTCTACTAAGTGTTGCTCTGGGTAGCCTAGCTGTGAGTGTGTGTCTCAGATGGAAGGGCAATAGCTAACAGCATTTACTGCCAGTTATGTTCTTCTGTCCTTAGGTCGGAGCCAGGGAGGAACAGCCAAGAGCTGATGTTTCTGTCTATTTACCTTGGACTTCTCATTTTGGGCTAGTTTAAAGCCAGAGCACATACCATTGGTTTATCTTTAACCTTGCAGTTTGTTTCAACTTTTAGATCTGTGTGAACTGCCTGGAAGTCCAGTCACAGTGGTTTATTCTTAATCTAGCTGGGAAGGCTAGCACTTGAGAATGAGTTATGAGCAGCTTGGGAATTTTCCACAGTACTGCTTGGTGTGTATGTGTGTATGTGTGATTTAGTTTTGGTTCTCTACCGTGATATTGTGACTGTTATTTGTCTCAGAGAAACCTGGCATAGTGATATTTATATTTCAGATGGTACTTAAGGAAATAATAGTAACAAAGACCCTTTCATTTCCTTCCTTCACGCCTAGAATCCTCTATCAGTGTCTGTCTAAATTTTGAGTCGTCTTGGTTCTAGCTAAGAAATTCAGAACCAATGTATATTTTCTCTGGGGATTAAGAAGTAAGCATGAACAATCTACAGCCACACCAGCCAAGCACAGATGTGCTTATATTTGATGCCCAAATATAAACTCAATTCTTCCTTACCCTTTCTGTGCCTCGTTTTCTCTATCTGTAGTTAGAGACACCTAACAAAAGCTATTGAAAGAAGTAAATGACTGAGAACAGGGACACAATTACAAGAGTAGTTGGTGTATGTCATATAGAGACATAATGCCATGTACACATGGTATTTCAGTGTACCATGTTTCATTTACTCATCTCACTCAAATACTGAACACTACCTTCGTGCTGAGGACACAGCAGTTAAGGGCTCTTTGTATGCTGCTTCAGAGCAACAAGTCTGTCAGAAACTGCACTAAAGAACGTATTGGGATATAGGTATTATTCAAACATGTTGTATGCATGTGTGAAAAATCAAAAACCCATTCTGCATAATTAAAGTTAGACTTGTAAAGAGTTAATATAGATAGATAAGTATAATGGGGCTTAGGAAGGCAAGTGCAGTTTTTATCCTGTTTTTCAAAAAAAAAAAAAAATTATTTTTCTTTTTCTTGTCTTTATAGTGCTACTGTAAACAACCTTCAGGCAAAAGTAGATGCATTAGAAAAATCCAACACTAAACTGACAGAAGAGGTAAGTGTTTTGGACATTATTTGACCTTTAAATGTAATTATAAATCAGTGAAACCAGTCATTCCTACTACTTTGGACATGAAGGATTTGACTTTTCAGATAAGAACTGCTGTAGGAAATAACTTCTTGTCCTGGCTACTTAGACACTCATTTCCCAGTGGTAGACTACAGTGTGACTCAGAATTCAGTCAACTTTTTGGCCACTATTGATGTGGTCCAGCCAGACAAAGACAACCCCCCATCTCTTTTAGACAGATTTCTCTGGAACATTGATGTGTGTTCCAAGCTGGGAGCTCCTTGACCACCCCCCCATCCTATCTGCTCTTGAGCATGCTGACACAAGCAGTGGCGCTGGAGGGAATGCCACTGGTCTCTGACACTTCTTACTGTCATGTGCTCCTGACTAAGTTGGTCACTTGATCTCTGAAAAAGTCCCATTTCCCCACTGCCAAATGGGGGTGCTTATACTTCCTCTTGCAACTCCACAGCGACTCTGGAGATTAGGCAAGACTATAAACTGGAAAGCTCTTAGAAGAGCCCTTAGAATAAGAAGAAATTAACCATGTGGTTGACATCCGATTCCTAGACTAAATCTGTAGCTCAGCCTTTGTTTAATGGGAGTAGATGTTTATTTGCATCAAGATCTTAAGTAAGCAAGCCAGAATGCAAGCTCATTTTCTCTTTCTGCTCACCGTGTTATGTAGTGAGATAAACTTGGTTTAAAGGAATTCAGTGCACTAATAACTGCTAATTAGTTTTTCTTAAGAGAATAGTTTGTGTCTTTTTTGAAACACACTCTCACCTGCCTTAGCCTCCTAAGTGGAATTACCTATACAGGTCTTTTGGAGAGTACACAGCATGACTCCCATGACAGAAAGTTAATTCTTTATTCAACCTTTGTTTAGACAGTGTTTCACTATCTTCTCTCTTCGCTTGTTGTTGCAATGGAACCTACTCTGTGAGCATTTTAGAAGCATTCGTACTGAGTGTGTTTAGAAGGCAAATCCTGGGCCTCACTGGCCAACCATTGTAAGCCAAAACCTGAGCATCAGGTTCAGTAAGAGACTTTGTCTCAAACAGTAAGGGAGAGAACACTAAAGGAGACTCCCAGCACGAATCTGTGACCTGCACGTTAACACACACACTCAGACATGTGTACCCATGCACACACATCAAAATAAAAGAAGCCACATCAGGTGATTTTTATTTTTCTCTTACCTACTTGAAAGATAATTCCTCGTTAGAACATTTATTTTTCTGAGACTGGATCTCCCTTTGTAGTTGAAGCTAAAGAGAATTTACTAGCCCCAGCACCAAAATGGTAGGTTTACAGCATGCACCGCATATCTGACTGTTGAGGACAATTTTAGTGGATGATAGATGGCTTTCTGTAGCTATAGATTCCTAAGAATATTCAAAACTGAAAATTATACCTGAGCAGATAATAAGTTATTCTCTCGAATAAAAGGTTTTTGTTTTTAATTTTGGTCAACAGCTTGCTGTCGCCAACAACAGAATCATTACCTTACAAGAAGAAATGGAACGAGTAAAAGAAGAAAGCTCCTATCTACTGGAATCCAGTCGGAAGGTAAGTCCTAAGTGGGTTCTAAGACCTTCATGGAGAGGACATTGTGCACTGTGCAAGCCACAGGGTGGCTACTGGTCTAGGGCACTGGAACATATCAAACATACTCTTTCCCTGGAGTCTGTGTACAGCTCTTAGAGGCCCGAGCCTCTGCTATGCCACAGCTCATCATTGCTTACATTTGTTTAGAGACTTTTATTTGCTAATAATTTGTACTGTGTTTAGTGATTACGGTCTTGATAATGGAGCTGGAGAGATGGCTCAGCAGTTAAGAAAGTTATTGCTCTTCCAGAGGATCTGGATTTAATTCTCAGCTCCCACATGGCAGCTCACAGCTGTCTGTAACTCCAGTTCTAGATGACCCAATCCCTCTTCTGCCCTCTGGGATCACCAGGCAGGGACATACATGTAGGCAAAACATTAATATCATAAAGTAATTTATTTCATGTGATAACAAATACACCATTACTTTTACACTGTGCTACTCTTTTAAAGTAAGGGCCTTATCTGTTGCCACTGGGAAAGGTTAGTATGCGCATGAGTTTTCTACATAACAGTACTTTCTAGGACCAAGATTTTGTTTGTTGGAGGGGTGTAACATGTTTGTTTGTTTGAGACAAGGCTGTCCTGGAACTCACTCTGTAGACCAGGCTGGCCTCAAACTCAGAGATCTGCCTGCCTTTGCCTCCCCAGTGGTGGGCTTGCAAGTGTTCAGCCTCCTTAGAGAGTGCAATGTGATTCTCTCCACCCTGATGGTGGCATGGTACCATAATTGTCCTAAATTATGTCAGTATTGCTTAAGGAGGATATTCTAATTAGTAGATCTTTCAACTGTGAGTATAGGGTTGCTTGTTTGTTTGTTCTGTGACTTCACTGACATCTTTCCTTGCCACTGCTAGTGTTTCTAGAGGTCTGATGGGATAAAAAAGCTGTTTCTTGTGTATATCAGTATTTGACTTTCATGCATGGACATCATTAAAACAACTATAAATGCTGAGTAGAATCTCTCTAATGGCCTACTTCCTTTTAGCCATGATCTTTGGACAGCTATTTGTGAAATCTCTGGGAAAAGAGTATAGTATCACCCAAAATTCTGAACCAACTCATTTTGCGATGAATCAGGGTATCGGGGTTTTGTGGGTTTTTTTGTTTTTGTTTTTGATCCATGGTCCCATGTACCGCAAGCTGACCTAGAACTTGGCATATAACTAAGGATGTCTTTGAACTCCTTCATAATCCTCCTGCTTCCACCTCCCAAGTGCCAGGGTTAAAGATCTGAGCCATCATTCCCATTTTATGAGGTGCTAGAGACTTCATGAAGGCCAAGCAATCATTCTACCACCTGCACTATACAGGTGGTTTTGGTTTTTTGTTTTGTCTTTCTCATGGGGGGGTGGTTTTGTTTTGTTTTTTAGACTGTTTTAGTCTGTATTCCAGGCTGGCTTCAGACTCTTAGCAGTCTTCTCGCCAGGCCTCCAAGTACTCAGACTACAAGAACTGGCAACTATACACAGCTGTGATACTATTTTCCAAGACTGATTTGAGGAGTCTCCATCACCAGTTGTGGTAACTCACTTTAGGGTTTTAAGTGAAGAGACAGTAAACTTCAAACTCAACATAACCTTTTAAAATACACTCAACTTGAAATTCTTTATTGTAACTGCTAATTTGGTGTAGAGTCTTTCATTAAGTCCTTAAATCTGCACTGTTATTTACCTTCTCAAGGGTCCTAAGCAAGACAGAACTGCAGAAGGGCAAGCACTGAGTGAAGCAAGAAAGCATCTAAAGGAGGAGACACAGTTACGATTGGTAAACTTCCTTAAGTTCTAGTAGCTAGAATACATGGAAAGGTTGGGCTCTGGAGACGTTTCAGGTGACCCAGCAAGGTCCCAACACTCAGTAATGCACCCCTATAAAACTCTTTCTCACCTCTGCCCACTCTAAATATGTGAAGCTGAAAGTTTTAAAGTGAGGGGTGGTTAAAGTTGTACTGATAAGTTACTTCAAGTTAAGACTACATGGCAGAGGGGGCTGGAGAGATAGATAAGCGGTTAAGAGCACTGGCTGCTTGCTCTTCCAGAGGTCCTGAGTTCAATTCCCAGCAACCACATAGTGGCTCACAACCACCTATACTGGGATATGATGTCCTCTTTTGGCAAAACGTTGTACATTGCAGACAAAGTACTCATCCATAAAATAAATAAATCTTAAAAAAAAAAAAAAAAAAAAGTACCATAGCAGAAATTCAGGTTTTCTGAAAATACAGCCTTCTTTCTCAGTATGCTTTAAAGAACTATGCATGTTTGTATTAAAATATTTTTCATAAGAAGTATTTTAGAAATAATGTCAGCATGTGCTAGCATGATGCATTTTTATCATAACTACTTAAAGAGGGAACACATGATACAAACCTGAACGTTGTCATATGCTTGCATCATATTAAAAAACATGCAGCTCAGTAAAACGGCCCATGGTGTGCCCTGGGCACATCCTGAATTCCGAGGAACTCCAGTCGCTATCTCTGCTCTGCTAGATTATGCTGCTGTGTCTATGATAGAAACCAAAAAATTTCATATTAGGTGAGAACACCTCACTTAGCCTCTAGCCTCATTGACCATTCCCAGTAGCTTAAGTGTTACTTCAGGGTGTCTCAGCGATACCAAGAACATCTCAACAAATAATCTTAATCCTACTCCCTCCCAAGTGCTGGGATTAAATGTGTGTGCCTCCTCTGCCTGACTCCTAATAGTTGCTATTAATGTCTCTTATTAATTATTGTTAGTTATTAATATCTCCTAAAATAAATATCTTCTGCCAAAACACTGAGCACTCAGGGTTCGTCTACCTGTTCTTGTCAAATGTTATGGCATTTACTCAGTTGAGGAAAGAGTCTAAGCAGTTGATTTGCTTTGCCGCAGGATGTTGAGAAAGAACTGGAGCTCCAGATCAGCATGAGGCAGGAGATGGAACTGGCTATGAAGATGCTGGAGAAGGATGTCTGTGAGAAGCAGGGCGCCCTGGTGTCTCTGCGGCAGCAACTGGATGACCTCAGGGCTCTCAAGCATGAGCTTGCCTTTAAGCTGCAGGTAGGGGAAGACCAGGGGCGAGTCCTGGGGCTGCCCTGCAGCCCTCTTACAGGGGAGTCACATCTCCTTGACCAGCTACCCATAAATTAATAGAATACTCAGACTGTCATGAAATTCTCTGCTGCTGTTCTTAAAAACCAGTGTCAACTTTCATATGGTGAAGGGAGATTCATCCATTCATTTTCTCTCTTTCTCTCTCCCTCTCTCTTTCTCCCTCCCTCCCTCTTTCTTGCTCACTCACTCTCCCTCTCCTTCCTCTTTCCCTCCCTCCCTTCTGTGCTGGCTAGTTTTATGTCAACTTGACACAAGCTCGTGTCATTCCAGAAGAGGGAACCTCAATTGAGAAAATGCCCTCACCAGATTGACCTATGGGCAACCTGTGGTACATTTTCTTGACTGATGATTGATGTGGGAGGGCCCAGATCACTGTGGGTGATGCCACCCTAGGCTGAAAGAAAGCAGGCTGAGGAAGACTGGAGGAACAAGCCAGTAAGCAGCACCCTCCATTGCCTCTGCTTCGGTTCCTACCTCCAGGTTCCTGTCCTGACTTCTCTTGATGATGGGCTGAGATCTGCGAGGTGAAATAAACCCTTTTTTCTTCCCCAACTTGCTTTTGGCCATGGTGGTTATCACAGGAATAGAAACCTTAACTCAGCATCAAAATATGAGTTTCTCTTCTTTTGAAGGTTTACTTTACTTTTATGCCTGTATGTCTGTGTACATTAGTTTAGATGTTCACAAAGGCTGTCCCCCTAGACCTGGAACTACAGGGGTTTATGAGCTGCTAACCTGTGTGCTGCTCTTCACTGAGCCATATCACCGCTCAAAATAAGAGTTTCTTTTTTCTTTTTCTTTTTTTAAATACTTAATTCTTTCTATTTTCTGTATGTGGTTGCTCTGCCTACATGTATATCTGTGCATACACCACATGGGTGCCTGCCTGGTGCTAACAGAGGTCAGAAGGTGCCAAATCTCACTGGAACTGGAGTTACAGGTGGTTGTTAGGTACCATATGGGTGCTGGGAATTGAACCCAGGTCCTGTATAAGAGTAGCAAGTAGTCTTAACTCTCTAGCCGAAAATAGGAGTTTCTTAATGATATTTTTGTGCATATATTTATCATTAAACTTCATTTGTATTTATCCTCACATCCCTTGCTTGTCTCACTCCCTCTACTTACTGTTCCTTTCCCTTATATATTAGACAGACAGTGTGTATTAATATAGGTTCCACATGAGAGGATGTGATGTTTGTCTTTTTCTTCCTTCGCATTGTCCTCTTTCTCCTTGTTCCCACCTTCCCCATAGATTCCTCCTTTCCCCGCCTCGTTCTCTTTCTACCTTTACATTGTGTTTTCCTTCATGTAATATTTAAATATATTTTAACTTATTTAATATAAACATTCATGAGTGTGTGGGCAATACAAATTAGACTTGGTGTGTTTTTGTGGGGGAGGCAGTAAGGTGAAAGGACTTGGGAAGAATGAGAAGTGAGTGTGATCAGGGTGCATTGTGTGAAATTCCCAAGTAATCTATAAAATATTATGTTGGAAAAAAGTTACAAAGATAAAAAATAATATAGATATTTGTATCCTATAATTTCAAGTCTGCAGTTGAGCGTGTCAGCTGAACTGTGAATTGCATTAGACCTTTAATGGGTGGATAAATCAATGAGCCTCCTGATTCTGTGATAAGCTTCACATAATAGTACTTATTTTAACAAAAATGCTTCTTGGCTTTCTTTTCCTACTTAGAAATTAGTTAACCGATATGCAAATTAAAGCAGTTCCATTCACTTCCTGTTTGCCATTGTGATGGAAACAGACATGTACTGTATATTTTTATAATTTTTTTCTACCAGAGCTCAGACCTAGGAGTCAAACAAAAAAGTGAATTAAACAGTCGCTTAGAAGAGAAGACTAATCAGATGGCCGCCACCATTAAACAATTGGAGCAAAGGTAAAAGTGCTGTTTCTGTAACGACTCTTTCTGTATGGGAAATGCTGGGAATAGAAACATAGCAAATGGAAAATACAGGAAATATATGCAACCTGAATCAGATATGTTGGCAAAAGTTTATCTGTGTGTGTTCCATGATGTTCCTGAAACATTGTTAACAGTGGTGTATAAATTGACAGGCTAACACGGAATGAATCTCACATCCACGCACCACTAGACAGAGGTACAGGTACCTAGCAACAGCTGAGAAAGGGAGAGACAGTCATCCCCAGAGATGAACCTCCTAACTGGGTATCCCAAGTGGTCAGTTCTGAAATCATGTGCGTACAAGCAGCACAGAATGGATTCAGCAGGCTTGGTGTGTGTGTGTGTGTGTGTGTGTACACACGCACGTGCACGTGTGTGCATGCATGTAATAAGAAAAAGAGACCATGAGTTTGAGAGGGGAGTAGGAAGGACACAGGAGAGGCTGATGGAAGAAGGCAACAGATTATATAATTATATTTTAATTAAATGTTTTAAGTATATAATGAGTTCCAGGCTAGACAGGGTTGAAGCATGAGACCCTATCTAAATAGCTAGTGTTTGTAATTGTATAGTTTTGTTTGTCATTAAAGCCTAGTATGAAAATATACTAGGTGAGGCAGATGTCCTTCATGGCTTTCTCTCTCATCTTGAACTCCTTTCTCTGTTCTGTCTCACCTCCTCTCTGTCTTTCTCCTGAATAGTTGTATGGCTTTCACTAATATCTACAGTATGTCCCTCTGATCTCCTCCTGTCTCAAGGCGGGTTTTCATCTTCTCTTCTTCCTGTGATGTCCTCTCTCCTTTGGTCTGGAATCACCCCCTTCCCCGTAACCCTGTAGCAATAGACTTCACACCGAATGCATTGTAGCACCCAAGACCACCTGCCATTTCTACCTCTTGCACCCGCTCATCACCCTTCTTACACTGCAGCAAAACTAAACCGTGTTGCCCATGCTTTCCACTTTTCCATCCCTCATTGTTCTTGATAGTTGTACCAGTTATGAATGTTCCCTTCCTACTTCCCTCTTCAAATCCATTTTTACATGAAGACTCAAATGCCACCATCTGACAGTGGCTTCCTCTGAGACCTCTCTCCAGCCAAAAATGGCACTTTCTGTCCACTGCTCCCCATACTGCCTGATGTCTCACGGTCCACCTCACCTTGTAGTCTATACCAGTGTCTTGTCTTCTGAGTGTGAGCTCCTTGCAGTTAGTTAACTAAGTGTTTGAGTTCTGTCACAGTTCTTGAATGTACATGGCATAAGTTGAATGAATGAGTGAGAGAGAGAGAGAGATGGGTGACTTCTGTCAGATGATTCTTCACCAAGGAGAGTGTCCTGAACAGAAGAGCATGTTAATGTTAATTCTAAAGCTAATTGCAAACTTATAAATGGTATTTAAACCTTAGCCATGATTGATACTGTTATGATTGATAGTAAGACATAAATCTATTTCTATAGCAGATTATTTAAGTACTTGTTCAGAAACAAGGACATGTGTATGATTTAATAAACTGATGTTCATAAGTTGTACTTTGTAATGTTTGAAACTATTCCTCAGTGATTTTGACTTGGCATTTAAGGCCAATAGAATTAAAATAATGACTCATCTGACTTACTTTCTTACTATCTTTGTTTCCTATTATCCATTTTCTCATCACCCTTCCAACTCATTTTTTATTTTTATTTTATTAAGTGAAAAAGATTTGGTGAAACAGGCAAAGACCTTAAATAGTGCAGCAAATAAACTGATCCCAAAACATCATTAGACATTTTACAGTTGGTCACCTCACAAGTCTGATGCTCCAAAATAACTAAGAGGATGAAGTCAGAAATTCCTACATTTAAGCTCTGATTCTATATAAAATGTCCCAAAAGTTGACCTTGAATTTGTTGGACTTAAAAAAATAGTTGGATATATAGGTTGGGTTTTGTTGTTGTTGTTGCTGCTGCTGTTATTTTCTCCCCCAGAGTTAGAAATTTTGCTATGGGTTCCTCATTAAACGCCAAATAAACTTTGAGAAATATTTCTGAGTTGAACAATAAATCAAAAGACCATTTTCAGGAAACCTGGGGAATGGAAGCATTGTCCATGTGTCTTTGATAGTAGTCAGACTCTGTAGGTGGCCGATGGCCACAGTCTATTCTCTGCAATGTAATGCGAACAGGTGTCACCTGGGCGACCTTGGACCTAAAGTAGCTCTGTCTCTTAGACTATGACCCCTCTTTTCTTGCCTGTGTAGGTATAATCCCCAGCCCAAGGAAAGTACTTAGTATTTCATTACAGTTCTATTCTCAGTAACCAAGATTGCTTGCAATTCATTTTTCCCTTAGTGATTTTAGACAAAAAAAAAGAAAAAGAAAAAAGAAAGAAAGAAAAGAAAAAAAGAAAGAAAAACAGCATCCTTGCATTTCTTTAAAGTACTTAGAAACAAAGTAGTAATTAGGTAGCTTTTAACATCACAGTGTGGAAGCTGAAAAACCCCTCTCAACATGTGTCACCTTCTACCTCTGCCCTTCTCTGTCATTCTACTTACTGCTTAGGTAGCTCAGAGAGAACACTTTCATACAAATACGGTTTTCAAATCTATCCTGCTTTTCCTACTGGGATAGAGAGGCCTCAGTGCGGTCACCACTTCTGGCCTGCCATCCTCACCCGGAACACTTGCCCAAGAGCTCCTATCACTTTTTCTGTGATGGGAATTTGCTAAGGGTTCTGGAAAAAATAATCTAGTTACTTAAAAAAAAAAAAAATTCAAATGAGAAATAAGTAATGTGCTGGCATTTATTGCTTAGTAGGTCAAGATAAAGATCCTCAATAGATAGCCACAGCAATACTAGCAGGGTTTCTTTTTCTAAGTGACTACAGCTCTAACCCTTTCTTGGCTCTACATTGTAAATAATCCTATAAATATTTTGATTTAAAAAAAACAAACCTATTTTTGATTTGGAGAGGCAGGCTTTTATATACGTGAGCCTTTACTCCATCTAGTGGTTTTGGCACAATGCCTGGGGTTTTGTTCCATGTCTTCTGTCTCTCTGGCATGCTACATAGCATTGCCCCTGCTAAAGAGAGGCAAAGATAATTCCTTTGCTTCAAATTTTTTACCTTCTTGGCAAACCAGAATTATGAGTACAACAAAGTTCATGTGCTTTTATAGGTCCTCAAGGGCCTGTGTTAGAGCCAACTTAAAAGAGGATCCTTGAACTCATCTAATTCTATAATCTTGCACCTGTATAAATAAAGCTCCTACTGCATTCTGCTGGCCATCCATCTTTAATGGTGGTGAGGCGCCTTTTACATGAGCATCAAAAAGAATAGTCAAACAATACAAGTTACACTACATGCAGCATGCCTCTAAATTCTCCTATAGAAAGCCTCAAAGATCTCACCTTGTAAAGATTCTTTATAGGTGCAATGTTATAAGACATTTAGAAGAAAGCATCCTTAAAAATATTCCAGGGAATGTGGTCAGGAGTTCACGAACCCCATTGCTGAGTTCTTTGTCTGCTGGGTCACATACCACCTGGTAGGAATGGAAAGGACAGACACAGCCAGACTTTCAGAGAGGCTTTCCCTGTGGACTGTGTGAAGCCTGGATGAGGGTTGCTAGAGGATGCCCGCCAGCTTCCTGTGGTTCAGGGAAGGGTCAGGAAATCGTGATAACCCCACATGAGAAGGCAGCACGTTCAGCTGTATGTGGAAGGCAGAAGGATAAAGTATCTACCTGTTAGGAAAGAAAGACAGTGGCTTCAACATAAATGCTTGTGTACTTGAGGGTGGTTCTGGATATGGATTTCCAAAAGTGATGTCTTGTTGTTGATCATCTAATGGCTGTAAACTGTAGTACTGGAATAAAAAAAAAAAAAAAAAAAAAAAAATAGAAAATCAGCTTTCCCTCTGCCTGGTTCACCTTCATCTTATTTTTCTTTAGAATTTGTTTCTTCTCCATCTTTTTCCCCATCATAATTTCTTCCTGTGTCCTGCATTTTTTTCTCCCTCTCTCTCTCTCTCTCACCATACTTTCTCCCTTGGGCTGTTTTATTTTGTGTTTGTGAATTTGGTCTTCCTCCCCACCATGGCTTTTGTTTTTTATCACAAGTTCATATGGCTCACATCCAGATTGCGCCAGGCTGAGCAGGGCCGCCAGTCTGCTGAGTTGGACAACCGGCTCTTCAAACAGGACTTTGGAGACAAGATCAACAGTCTGCAGCTAGAAGTGGAGGCGCTCACCAGGCAACGGTGAACAGGGGCAACTTGACCAGCAAGGGTGGTGGTGGATACTGCGGAAGGCTAAAGAGCAAGCATGGAGTCAGTTCTTGAGTGGCCTCGGCTTGATCTTTCCAGTGTCTTTACAAATTGTACTGTTGAGACCGTGGGTGAACAGTTCCAAACTCCATTCAACATCCTTGAAATCAAATAGTGTGGGACTAGCTGCTGGTCATGGTAGCACAGGCCCGAAATCTCAGCCCAGGCCAGAGCCCAAAGCCAGCTTGGGCTGCACATAGTGACATCCTGTCTTCAAAAAATAAAATAAAAAGAGATTTAGAGATGAAGTTCCCAAATATATAGTAACTGATACCTAATCCTATTTGAGTGATAACAGTTATCATCTCATGATTTCCTCCAGTGTGTTGTATATGTTTTAGAACCCTTCACACACTGGTGTTCCTACTGTCTGAATATCAGTTCTTTCAATAGGTGATATTATTTCCCCTACTTTAAGATGGGTGACAGCTTAGAGGGTTTCAGTGTGTCCCAAGTTCACACTGTTAAGCTATTAAGTGGCTAGCTACACTATCCCTTTATTTAAAAACCTGTTTTGAATGTTCTTTGGTGCTGAAGCCACTGACTGCAAATAAAAAAGTGAGGTGGCGGCTGTAAAGCACGAAGCTACTGAGGATGCTGAGTGGCTTGGGGATGGGGTGTATGGGAACCAAATAGAGACCAGCCAAATAATATGAAATCAAAATATGGTGCCTCTCCTTTTGTGGTGTATCTTCCTAAAAACTTGGACATGCCCTCATTCATCCATATAGCTGCAACTCTTCATTGAGCATTGGTGTAAAATAACTGACCTACTGGAACTGGGCACTCTGAATTGCCAGGGAAAGAGTAAACATGTTTTACATGTCATTGCATTACTCATTTTACTGTGCCCTAATATTTTAGAGCCTGGTTGTCCCTGTATTTCTGGTAACTTTATCAGGCATTAAAACGTAATTGCTAAAGGCCAGGCGTTGGTGGCGCAGCCTTTAATCCCAGCACTCGGGAGGCAGAGGCAGGTGGATCTCTGTGAGTTTGAGGCCAGCCTGGTCTACAGAGCTGGTTCCAGGACAGGCTCCAAAGCTACACAGAAAAACACTGTCTTGGGGGTGGGGCGTAATTGGCTTGGTGTTTAAGAGCACTGGCTGCTCTTTCAGAGAACTGGTTCAATTCCCAGCACCCACATGGTAGCTCACAATTGTTAATAACTCCAGTTCCAGTGGAATCTGAGAACTTCACACCAGAGCACATAAAATAAAGTTTTTTGTTTTTAAACAAAAGCCATTAAAAAAACAAAAGTGTAATGGCTGAACTTTTTAAGGTCTGGAATTCCTTAGAATTCATGAATATATATGAATACAGATTTCACAAGTCTCATCCTTTTCTTCTCTCATCTGACCAGGACTCAGCTTGAGTTGGAATTGAAGCAAGAAAAGGAGAGAAGGTCACAAAACAGGGGCACCATAGGGAAAGGGACCCAGAAGCTGGAACCCCGCATGGTAGGTAACGCATGTTCTTCATTCACTTGCTTATTCCACCTGTGTTACAAGCAGTTTCCCTCCAGCCTGGTCCTAAAGCTGTGTCAGCCCCAAATAACACTGTATTAGACATATCCAGACACTGCATTAGATGTAAAGCTGTTGGCCTATTACTGGTGTTTCTTATTGACTAGCTCTGTCTTAACATTTCTATCAGTCTGTTTCCACATGGTCTTGGCTTACTGGAGAGAGGGTCCAGACTTCTTCCTCTCAAGTTCCTACATCTTGAATCTCCTACATCTCCCAGAATCCTCCTTGTCTCCTACTCCCGCCTATCTTGTCTTCCTATTGGCCATCAGTGCTTTATTCATTAACCAATAAGAGAAACATTTACAGAATGACATTTCCCATCACACCTGCATGTTATGGTCCAGCAGGTCTTTCACAGCCCACATGCTTAGTTCCTGTGGTCTACAGTATGCAGACAGAAAAGCAAGTATCTCAGAATGTAGCAAACTGTGGTCCTGAGCTGGCCTCAAAGATGACCTTGGACTTGCTCCACTAGAAAAGAAAAAAACTTTTCCTTTGAATTGTTTATCGTAATAAGCATGTGTTTCTCGGAGTCCTAACTAATACTGTGTAATATGGTGTAACAGTCCCTCCTAACCCCAAGTTCCCCTTCAACAGGACTTCCCCAGCTGTGGGCTTGCTTCTTGGGGCCTTTTACTTCCCGTGGATTTCAGTGTGAATATATGCAAGGAACTTCGTAGGAGAAGGAACTAGAATTACAGAAGGGAATGTCCTATACAGAGTGAAAGGAGGGAGGGAGGGAGACAAAGGAAAAAGGAAGGAAGGAAGAAAGGAAGGAAGGAAGGGAAAGATAAGGAAAGGAAAGGAAAATGGAAGAAAGCTACTCTTTGTACCCAAACTGAGACATTACAAAAGAAACCCAAGATACCATCACCATTTAGCGGTCTGAATAATGCTTTTTTCTTTTGTCAGGATGGGAAGCACAGAACTCAAGAGGAAAACATTAAACTACAGAAGCCGCTGGAAGAAAGCCACAGGTGTCTGTAATGCACACTAATGCTCTAAAGTCATTTTGGGGTGGAGGGAAGGGGGCTCCTGATAGAAGGGCACTGACATCAACACAGGCCAGACACAGGCTTGTAAAGTAGAAAGACAGTTAAGGGAAAGCTAGTACATAATAAAGCGGATAACATATTCGCCAGATGACGATTATAAAGAGGATTACCTGGTCGGTCTGTCCTCTGATTCTTCCTCAAATTACCATTTAAAAAGATTATTTCGCAACCCAGTGTAATTCCTCACACTTGTAGTCCCATCCTTAGATAAGTATACAGGATAGGATTCAGTGCCAACATGGGTTACACTGTTAAACCCTGTCCAAAAGGGGGAAAAAAATCATCTTTATTGAATCAGGACCTCAAGAAAATGGAGCACTGGTAATTCTTAGGTTTGTAAATGAACGTTAGCATGACTTGTTTCCACTCACCTGCCAAGTTTGACATCCTCATTCCCTTCTCATCCCCGTATGTTAATGTTTTGTTTGTTTGTTTGTTTGTTTGTTTGAGACAGGGTTTCTCTGTGTACCCCTGGCCAGGAACTCACTTAGTAGACCAGGCTGACCTCAACTCATAGAGATTCACCTGCCTCTGCTTCCTGAGTGCTGGGCTTAAAGGTGTGCACCACCACTCCCAGCTCCTGTCTGTTTTTTTAAATTAATTTATCTCTGTGACATTCTGGCAACTTCTAGGATTTATCTCAGCCAGAACTGCAACCACTGAACACAGGAAATTTAACAGGGGACATGTAGAGGCTTGGTCACCATAGGTGTTGGTTGTTCATCTACCCTCTGCCTCTCAACTGAAGGTTACAGCAACCATGTGGCTGTGTTGCATTTTACTGGATAATGAGTGGGCTCTTTGGTAGGCTTCTAAAGAAAGAGTTCAACCTGTGTGATATGGATTTTTATATGCAGTCTCATGACAGTCTGATTCATTTATTTCCTTGATTAGTTTCCTAAAATTTCCAACTTAAAAGAGTTTTTTGGGGAAGGTAGACAAATACATGGTAGAGTCCCATAATGTCAGATACAATAATAGAACTTCAAAAAATGGTTAATGAACCATTGGAATTTTACATAAAATAAATGTTATTTTCTAGGTACTAAAAAGGAAAGATAAAATAAAACTCCGTATATATATTTGTAAATCAGAACTGTGATGTATAGCAGGGATCATATGGAGCATAGTAAAAGATTTAACCAAACTGTCCAGATTGTGGAGGTCAAGATTAACAATTACTTTGTCCTGGCAGTGTAAAGGAAGGGCAGCATTGCTTGCCTAACGAGTATTATCCTGAGCATTTCTTGAGGTGCTATAATGGAAATTCAGTAAGTTGATGATGTTTGTTACCCTTTTTATTTCTTCTATAGGCTGCTGACTCACTCTGCAAATGAACTGGTAAGAATCCTGTTTTAAATGTCTTACACACAATGAACAGTCACTGAGTCATGACTACCCAGTAAACAACTTAATATGGGAGGAAGATAAATAGACATAGTCCTCAGTGTAGCATCTTCTTAATAATCTTTTTAAATTTTATTTATTATTTATGATTGGTTCTTTAGAGACAGGGTTTCTCTGTGTAATTGGCTATCCTGGAACTAGCTCTGTAGACCAGACTGGCCTCTGCCTCCCTATTGCTGGGATTAAAGGCGTACGCCATCACTGCTCAGCTATATACTTAATAACCTAATATGCACCCCACATGTTGGAAAACAGATGTGTCTGGTGTGTTGGAAAACAAAAATGCAAACCGAAACCAGTTTGTAAGTGGGAGTCATCATGTGACTGAGGGGTCTGTGGCATAGCTCAGAGCGCTTGGCTCAGCAGCAATTTCATTTCCTACTTGGTATCACCTCTATTGAGCCATCTCCTAAGCACCCTCCCTGCACCTCTCATTTTCCCTTAGGTAAAATGGAGAGGAAAAAGATGTTTTAGTCACTTTACAAAATGTCTTCCTTCACCTGTATGTGTGTGTGTTCGCGACATGCATCCTGGTGCCCGTGGAAGCTAGAAGAGGGTGTCAGATCCCCTAGAACTGGAGTTAAAAGACAGTTGTAAGCTGCCATGTGGATGCTGGGAATCGAACCTAGGTATTCTGGAAGCACATTCAGTGATCTTTAACAGCTCAGCGTTCTCTCTAGCACCTTTCTGATCACTTTTGAACATTTTTAAAAATTGTTTTATTGGTTCTCTTATGTTACATCCCAACCATACTTTCCCCTCCCTCCAAGCCTCCACCCCATCCATTTCTCCTGTTTCCCTTCAGAAAAAAGCAGGCCTCCCGGGGATATCTCAGCCAAACTTGGAATATCAATTTGCTGTGAAACAAGGCACCTCCCCTCATAAGGCAACCCAGTAGAAAGGTCCCAAAAGCCAGCAAAAGAGTCAGACAGCCCTTGTTTCCACTGTTAGGAATCCCACAAGAAGACCAAGCTACACAACTGTAACATATGCAGAGGGCCTAGGTTAGTCCCATGCAGGCTCCCTGGTTGGTGGTTCAGCATCTGTGAGCCCCTGAGCCCAGATTGGTTGATTTTGTGGGTTTTCTTGTAGTGTCCTTGACCCCTCTTCCTTTTTAGCAGGATTCCCTAAGGCCTGCTTAGTGTTTGGCTGTGGATCTCTGCATCTGCTGGATGAAGCCTCTCTGATGACATTTATGCTAGGCTCCTGTCTACAAGTATAGCAGAATATCATTAGGAATTGTTTTGTTGACTTTGTTTGGTTCTATTCTGGGTCTCTGGGCTGTCCATCCTCTGGGTTCAGGCGTCCAGGCAGTGTCAGGGGTGGCCTCCCTCTCGTGGCAAGGATCTCATCAGGCTGGACCAGTCATTGGTTGACCATTCCCACAGTTTCTGTGCCACTTTTATCCCAGCACATCTGGCAGGCAGGACAAATTGGTCCAGGGTTTTGTGGCTGGGTTGGAATCCCAGTCCCTCCACTGGAAGTCTTGCCTGGTTACAGGAGATGGCGGTTTAAGCAATTATAAAACAGTACAGCAACATGAGAAAGACTGTACTACCATGTGCCTCACCTCATCACCTTACAAGATTTTCATGCTCAGTAGAGTAATGAACAAGGGTGAAGCCATGAATTGTATGAATGCTTCAGTTTTCTCATCATAAATAAAATTCAGTTACGGTGATAGAATATGTAACTTGTTTCTTCACCTTCAATCTGGTTTTAGTAGCTAAACACATTACAGAGTTCCTTGTGCTCGGGGGTTAACTGTTTTACTGTGTCTTAGGGTCAGCCCGAACTCTCTGAAAAGCCACAAGTGTGTCAGCTATGCCAGAGAGATGACAGCCTGACAAAGGTGAGTGGGTCCTCATGGGGATGGTGTGCAGCTCTGGCTCCTTACCAGGAGTAAGCAGGGCTTTGCTGTGTAGAACATGGTGGGTCTCTCATGGTGCAGCAGTGGGCTAGAAAGCCACAGGGTGAAGAACTTGCTCTTTAAAAGAAATACAATAAGTACATACATAATTTGAAACAAATAAGGAAGTACTAATTCATGAAGTACAGTCTATGTTAAGCACGAAGTTTTGTTACTTTTTATTTATTATAACTGGATGAGCGAGGAAAAGAGTGGGGAGGGAGGGATGTTATTCATATGCCATGGTGCACATGTGACACTCAGAGGATAACTTTGATGGGTCTTTTCCTTCTGCAACCATAGGGCCTCGGTTTTTCCTTTTATTGAGCCAGGGTCTCCTGTGTGGTCCAGATACCCTGGGGCTGGATGTATTGTGTAGACCATCACCAAACTTGTACTCTTTCTGCCTATGCAGCTTCCCTCCAGTGCTGAAGTTGCAGTGTACACCATATGCCTGCCCTAAGTCTGTGTTTCGTTGTTTTCTGTTGATGGGATCCAGCCCCTGGTGTACACTAGGCGAGTGCCAACACCAGAGCTTCTGCACTCAAATCCTGGTCTTGGCTCTTGTTCCTTCCAGGCTGCTCAGAAGGGCAGACACGCTCTCCCCATTGGGTCCTTTCCCATGGGCTTTTGCTAGTTTGCCATCATAGAGCAGGTAATGTCAAAATCTAGATTAGAAAGAACCAACAGCCTCAATGGTTGGGCCTAGAACTAGCTAACCACAGGATCCCTCAACATTAATATGATACCTGGAGAAGCTCAAGAGGTATTATGTTACAAATGAGTGCTTGAAGAATTTTAAGAAATGTGTTCAAATTCTAGATTACATCATGCTGAATAACAAAATTACAATATGATCTAACCTTAGATCAGCAAAACAGTATAGCAAATGAACTGCCTTTATACAGTTGGAAATTCATAAATATTCCAACACAGAACAAATTGCTAACTTAATTCCACCTTTCCATTTCCTAGCTCTGCTAACAAACTCTCAGTAAAAATGCAAACTTATGCCAGCTATCCTAGCACTTAAGAGACCAAGGCAGGAGAGTTAGTTCAAGACCCTGTCTTAAGAACAAAATGGCATCCCCATCCCATGTACTCTTGAGTTGATGAAGTATCTCTTGGGAGGAATTACTTTGAAGCTCTTTTATGAAGAGCTGCCTGTGACCCTGTTGTGTTGTCCTGGTGGCACTGCTGTGGCAGCACACTGCTTGGCTGCCGAAGGATGTTTACAGAGACTAGCTTCCCTAGAAACAAGATGCAGGTAGCCGGGTAGCAATTGCACTTGTGGGGCATCAGAGGGAAGCAAACATTGAGCTTATCAGTGCTCTGGGAACTTTGACGTGGTATGAGTTGGGGTATGTAAACCCCAACTTCTCCAAACCATTGCTAGTTTACTACCTTATTTAGAGTTTCAGTGTGCTTAAATATTTGCCAGAATGTAGAATAAATCTGCCCAAGAGTTACTGTAGGGATCAAAAGTACAGTGTGTACTCCAGAGACCAAATACTCTGTTATCCTTTCTCTTGATTTTGTGACACCCATGCTGCTTCATTTAGATTTAATAGCTGACCTCATGCCCCTTCTGAACATGCCTGGTCAGTACCATTTGGCACACACCAGCCATGCTTGCTGTGCATTAGGTAATTCTGTATTTGACTCTTTCTGTCCTTAGCTTGTTCTTGTAACACCCTACCCCACCCCAATCTTGCAGAGCAAGTGTACAAACTGCAGAGGAACCTTCTGTGAAGCCTGCACTACAAATGAACTGCCTCTTCCTTCAAGCATCAAGCCTGAACGAGTGTGTAACCCTTGTCACAAGCAACTGATGAAGCAGTACTCCACCAGCCCATCCTAAAACTGGAAGCCAAGACCCAGGCCAGAGTGTTAATGCTGAGCCTCTCCCTTCACCTGTTAGATACAAGATCCCCTGGGAGCCCGTCAGCAGAAGCAACCATAGCTGGTAGGACAGATAGAAGTTAAGCCAGGTCTGTGGGGGAGGCAGTGATTGGGCCTTTGCTCATCTCCTCTAATGAGTGTACAAATAAAAGCTGCTGAGCCTTTCTCTTCCACACCTAAACAAGCCCACTCTGGAGGGTTTCAATGCACATCTCTGGGCTTTCGTATTTGCATGAAGTAATAAAGCTGGGCTGCAGCTGCATACCTAGCACTGCCTAGCAAGGGTGAGGCCCCAACCGCAGCATCACTGCCACAAAGGATGGAAAGAAACAATACATTTCCATTCTGAAGGGGTAACATGGATGTTAACAGAGATGAAAGTAACAAGTGTTGCCCAGGTGCTGCTGGACACACAGTACTTGACTCTTGCCTCCCACTACCTACCTCTTCAATCTACTGAACTGTGAACCCAATCTCAGGGAAAGAAATTAAGAATAATATAAATCCTGAATGTATTGGTAACAATATTGTAATGCATTAATTTCAGGACCAGAATTTTTGTGGGGGTGGTCTTCTATAAGGGTTTTCTTTGTATGACAAGGATATCTGTTTTTTCCACCTAATGGCTCCAGAAGTCTCTGCTCTTTTTAGAGTCCTGACCACAGCAAGCCGTCTCTTACCCAATCCCTCCTACTTACAAGTATAAGATAAGTAAAACTTAGCCAGGTACACATACCATCAACTCTTAAGTTTGTTAATGGCTGAAGACAGCAGCTCAACATGTATTAAACTGTTTATTTGATAAGGCCTTATTCTGCTACAGGGGTGGGGGGTTGGCACACGCCTTTAGTCCCAACACTTGGGAGGCAGAGGCAGACGGATCTGTGTGTGCTTGAGGCCAGCCTGGTCTACAGAGCAAGTTCCAGGACAGGATCCAAAGATACAGAAAAACCCTGTCTCAAAAAGAAGTCCTGATTCTGAACTACAGACCAGAAACGACAATATTCAAATGTCTCTTCATAATAAACCCTCTGTAGAAAAGTGGGGGGCACACTGAGCAAGCAATGGACATAAAGAAATGGTTTAATTACTATGATGATGTTGCATGTCTGTAATGTTTGATCCCATTAAGACTCAGGAAAACACGATTCTCTGCACACTTGGAATTCTGGTAATGATGAATGGTGACAGGTTCGTTCTGTCTCCTGGAAAAGGTTAAAGCCTGGGAAAGTCATTATTTCAGAAGTCTGACCTGCTGGTGAAGCTGAAATATTGAGAGTATTTATTAGAGGGAAATAAAATTAGTAATTCTAACCTATTGTGTTGGTTGCCTTTTCTCTTTAAAAGAAAATTTTTAATGTTTTTGTGTGAATGAGTATTCTGCCTCAGCGTATGTGTGTCTAAGAGGGCATCAGTTCCCCTTGAATCAGAATTAAAGGCAGCTGGGAGCTACCCTGTGGGTGCTGAGAACTGAACCCCGGGCCTGAAAGAGCAGCCAGTGCTCTTAACCACCTCCCAACTTTTTTTCTGCAAAATAATTTAGGGGGGGGGTGATTTTGAGACAGGGTTTCTCTGTGTGGTTCTGGCTGTCCTAGAACTTGCTTTATAGACCAGAGATCTGTCTGCCTCTGCCTCCGAGTACTAGGATTAAAGGTGTGTAAGGAACTGTGAGGGCAGAAGTTCTAATGAGCACTAAGTTAGGAGGCAGCTGCATAGCATGGAGTATAAGAAAGTAGACAATAGGAACCGCAATCCCCAAACACTGTGGCTGTTAATTTGTACCACCATCCCAAAAGCAAGGGATCAAGTCATGGATGCTCAAATATAATCATTCCTAAGGAATCCTCCTTTAAAATTTCTCCCTAACATTAACAACAGCATCAACCAAAGCAAAGTAAGGCAAGAACTCCACAATAAAAACTACAGAACATTCCATGTGAAATGAAATGACACTGTTCACAGATCAGGAATCTAGCTAGCACTTAAAGCCCCAGGCAAAGGGAATCACAAATTCAGGTCCTGGCTTACATGGGAAGATACCCAAAAAAAAAAAAAAAAAAAAAAAAAAAACATAAAATCCAATCTTCTGCAGAAATGGAGGGAGGAGCTTCTCTAAATTTTTAGTTAACTCTATAAAATATGAATTCAGGGATCATATAATTGATTTCAACACTTAAAACTAGAGTAACCAAGTCAAAATGATACTGGCATAAAGCATAGGCAGCCTAGAAATAAACTTGTAAGTATAAAGTCAGATTATCTCTTGACAGGTGCCAAGATCACTCACCACAACAAAGTATTGGGAAAACTGGATAGCCATGTGCACAGAAATGAAGTTGGACTCTTATGTCACACAGAAGCTGAAGATAGCCTAAGACAGTTCATTAACATACAAATAAAGCTGGGGAGTAGTTGAGAACAGCTTTAATCCCAGCACTCTAGAAGCAGAGGCAAGTAGATCACTGTGAGCTCAAGGCCAGTTATGCAGATAAACCCTGTTTTGAAAAAAAAAAATTATATAGGTCCACGCACACACCCAAATCAGAAACCAGGTACCCAACAAGCAATTTCTATACATAAAGACACAAATCCTGACATGATATCTTGAAATGTAAAACCAATTTAAAATGAGAACCAGTAAACAGTTGTAAGCATTGCTAAGGATATTGGAGCCTTTGGATTAATAAGAAAAAGGTGAAGAAATAAGTTGGGCTTCCAGTAGGTAAGTGGAATAAAGCCGTAGAGCCATATCACTTGGGGTGTTGCTTCCTGGCATGAATGCATCTATCAAATTTTCAGTCACAATTAAATTTTGCTCACTAAAAATAATCACCACACGCCACTTCATGCTTTAAAAAAAAAAAAAAATTGTAGATGTATCGCTGGTGCACAAAAAGACTTTGGGAGCACATTCCCCATGGAGGGATACTCCCTTAACCTAGAGGCAGGAAGGAGGGCCTAGTCCCTACTCCAAATGACTTCACAGATTTTGTTGACTCCTCCTGGAAGGCACCACCCTCCCTGTACAGTGGGTGGAGGGAGATGTGGGGCGGGATGGGAGGGTGTCAAGTGGGGGGGGGCATGAGAGGAGTAGAAGGGAGAGGGAACTGGGATCCATATGTAAAATAAGAAAAAAAAAATAAAAAGAAAAAAATTTAAACTAATTTATATTTCAAGATAATATCCTGCTAGAATGTGTGTCTTTTATTCTGTGTAGAAATGTCACCCTTGTAAATGAGAGCAGGTGGAACAGTGCCATCATGAAGATACCATGTGTTCTCTTTCTTGAGGGATGAACAGACTGCAGCCAACCCATTAGGACTTATTACCACCCACCTCAGTCGCTAGTGCTTGATGTTTGTGTTCACATTCTGCCACTTCTCATCAGACTATGCATTAGGATCACAAGCTTTTTATATATTTTTGAAATTTGCATGTAGGCTTCAGATTATGGTTGCTGTCCCCACCTACCTGGTTTGCTGGGAATGGCCCAATACCTTTTAGGCAAAATCTCTTATAACCTCTTAAAGGCTATCTTTAGTGATTCTCTGACCTTGACTCCAACCATATTAGTTTACCTTGTCACACACTTCATGCTCCACCAAGTGTCTTTGTAGTCACTTCATTTAGACATCCAGACAGATCCTGATATAAAACCCAGAAACTATAAAGGGGACAATAGAAGGATTAAACCATTGGCCCCATGTGCTGGCACATACCTGAAATTATAATCCTCAGAGGCAGAACAACAAATCCAAGGCCAGCTCAGTAAGATCCTGTCTTCAAAACTAACCAGAAACATTCACCACAAAAATACATTCTGCTGACTATCAGAGAATAGAGCATAGATATTATTAGTAAAGACCAAACTTGAGGAAACTCACCAGTAAACATCAAAAATAATCCAGTACTCAGAAAATTCAAATAGAATGTACAGATGATTAACTTGTCTTCAACAAAGAAAAATCAGCAGTTGAGTGTCCTAAAATGTCCTAACTGTGGCAGGGTTGGGGTAGCAGATGTGCAACAACTTACTGGGGAAGATAAACTGTGAAATGTACCTGGCTCGTGAACTCACCAAAGGCTATACTAACATGTTCCTCCTGCCTGTAATTCAAGAAAACCAGTTAAAACTTAAGTGCTGAGCTCAGGAATCAGTTGTCTGCAACACACTGGCCTTGGAAAAGGATTGATGGATGGCGAATGTCTTAACCTCAGCACTGAGGAGGGGGCACAGGCAGATCTCTGTAAGTTTGAGGCTAGCCAGGTCTACGGAACAAGTTCCAGGACAGGGCTATTATACAAAGAATCCCCCTTTCTAAAACAATGGCAGCAAAAGGATTGATGGACAGGCATGACAAAATGTAGCAAGGTGTTACTTGTAGCATTTGAGTAATGAGTACTAAGCATACTGGAAATTCAAATGTTAAGTATGCTTTAAACTTTCATTGGGGGGGGGGGAGTTGCAGAGCAAAACAGGCAGAGTGCCCACTACAGTAACGACTGTTTGGTCTTGACTCAAAGCTTCCTTTGACATTTCAGAAAATGGAATTTTTTAGGAATTAACTTTTTAAAAAAGTTTTCTTTAAATGAAATGCTCACTGATTCATGTAAATGGATTGTTATCTAGGGTTTCAATTTGGGGTGGGGGGAATCACATGAAGTGGAATGGACCTACAGTCCCAGCTTGTCAGGAGTCTGACACTGGAGAATTACTCTAGCTCAGGAATTTGGAAGGAGCCTGGACAATAGATTCTTAATTGGTTTCTACCAAGACAGTCTCAGTGTACAGATCAGGCTGGCCACACACTCATGATCCTGCCTCAGCCTTCTGAGAGCTGCAATTAGAGACATGTGCCACCAACCCTGACAGCCCTATCTCTTAAATAAAAAAATAAAAAAAAAAATTGAAAAAATTAATGGATAGGAGCTGTATATAAAACAATGTTAACCATAAACTGGTAACTTGTGGCCATATAGAGTGACAATCCATAGTGAAGAGGCTCCTAAGACTTTAACTGGAGGAAAGCTATCAGGTAACAGCTTGTTTCGAACTTTAGACTTGCTGTGATTGAAGCCTGTAGGCAAGGCTGTGGGGAAAGGGTTCTTGCAGGTCTGCTATGTTCCACTGGAACTTGAGATTGTAGTTTACACATACACACACACACACACACACACCTACACCTTTAGGTCAGTTAGGGGGGGGCAGAGAACTGTGTATACTTTATCTTTTAAATTTATAATTTAAAAACATCATGTGTCTAGTATTAGCTTATAAATAGAAAAATCAGTGCACCTAAGAAGCTGGTAATGGGGAAGCCTGACAACTAAGTGGCTAGTATAAGAATGGAAAGTCGACTGCCCAATGTATACCCTTTACTGCTATTTTCTTAAAAAAACAAGCAAACAAAAACACTATTCTTCTCATATCAAAACTTTAGATTGAATCTTCATGTCTCCTAATACTCAGTAAAAATAAATTCTAAAATTGGGTAAAAGTCCTAGGCAGAGACATATGGTCTTCAGATGTCTGTACATATATAAAAAGATATGTAATAGCATTATTGAACTGGAATTCAAACAAAAACACTACACCCTATTAGAAAAATTAAAACCCAAAACAATGCACTGAACACCAAAGGCACCGAGTTGCAAGATGCTTGTTCACCAGGGTGGACTACAAGAGTGGAGCCAGGTTTCTTTAAGAGCCTTCCGCATACAGCCCAGCCAACAGTACTTTGCCCAAGCTGAAAACATGTCCACACAAACCTGCACGTTAGAGTTTACAGACACTATTCCTCACCTAGAAGCTTAAGAAAATACTTTTCATCTAGTAAAAATCGGGCAGAAGTACTTACACATTAGGAAAGTCCTATTTGTCAAAACGTCTGAACTTGAACCTGCCTATACTTCACACTACTGACACCAATTGAATATGAACCCCTTCCCATTCTCAGAATGTCTGAAATGTTGTGTCTCAAAGTATATGGTGGCTACTGTAAGTCGTCTCCAGGTGAAACCTACTGAGGACTGCTGAGAGCAGGGTCATGGCATGTCACCTTTGTTAAGCCAAAGAGACCAGATACCTGCTAACCTACTCCTACTGTTTCATGCTTTTTTTTTTTTTTTTTTTTTTTTTTTAAATGGAAGTTTGGGGAACAAGGTTTCACTATGTAGCTCACTCAGGCTTAAACTCTACCTTGTGATCTCCGGCCTCAGCTCTCTGAGTACTTGGATTATAAACATGACCACCATGCCTAACTCCACTACTCTTTAAGACAGCTTTACACAAATTTAAGAAATTCCAAACTAATGAGGGGAAGCCACCATGGATGCTGTGCAAAGCAAATCAAATCTTAAAAATTAGAAACTGGTATGCCTTGACTTGGTAGAAATAAAACTACAAAGTAAATAAACCTTCACTCAATTATGTGATTCTTTCCAAGTAACTACACTTAACTCTATCACCCATCACTGACTCAGTGGCCAAAGTTGTGAGAAATCCTCAAATGAGAATGTGAGCTCCTAACTTCCCAGTGTTAACTTGCTCTATATAGAGTTCAGCCTCCAGAGTAAGATATATCCCACCAAGCTCTCTCTACACATAGCACTTAATGTTTCTGCTTTCACTCTCTTTCCTGAAATGGACAAATGAAACTTATTAGCTGAAAATGAATTGCAAGTGAATCAATTCTTCAACAACCCCAATCCCAAGGGATTCTACCAACTTTCTCACAGCAAATTAGAGACCAGCCATGAAAGATCACACCTTAACAGTTCTCATGGTCTGGTCAACTACTTACAAATACAACTCTATCTGAGCTGTATACTGTTCAATTGGTTAAGCCATTGTAGTTGGATTTTTCTTTGGGCCCAGCTCACAAATAACAACAGAGACTTATATGTAAGTTCAGCCTTAGCTTTGGCTTGTCCCACTAGGGCCTATAACTTAAATTAACCCATTTATTTGAATCTACATTGAGTAGCTGGTTACCACATCTCTCTGTACTACTACTCATGATGCTTCCTCAATATCTGCCTAACAACTCTGCCCTTCTTCCTCCTAGAGTCCTCTCTGTCCCTAGAAGTCCTGCCTAACATCTTTGGAGCTATTGGCCATCAGCTTTTTATTACAGCAATCACAGGGTACAAATATATCACAAGCCATGGTATGATTTGTTTGATTTTTGAGACAGGGTCTGTCTCACTATGTAGCCCTGGTTGGCCTCAAACTTACAGAAATGTGCTTGCTTCTGCTCTAGTGTGCATAGCTTGGTTTTTGAGACAAGGTCTGACTATGTAGCCCTAATTGGCCAGGAATTCAACATTTATACTCTGGCCTCAAACAAAAATGTGCCTACCTCTGCCTCTGCCTCCACTGTGCTGGGATTAAAAGCTTATATGTTACACTGTTACCACCAAGACCCTAAGCCACTTTGGGGTTTTTTTTTTGTTTGTTTGTTTGTTTGTTTTAAACACACCTGAAAAATATCTATTCTTATATTATTATATTAATGCACCAGGATTTGATATAATGAAAAACTAAATGTAGTAGACTTATACATTCCAGTAACAAACACTTACGTCATCTCTCACCTGAAACAAACCTCCCTTACTGTCTACAGGAAAGTGATCTGACCCTTAGCGGTAGTCACAAATGGGTTATGTACTAAGTGATACACATTTCTTCCCGGTTATCACTCGGAAAATTCAGTCTCAAGAATGAGCGGTGGTGGTGCATGCCTTTAATCCCAGCATTCAGGAGGCAGGAACAGGTGGATCTTTGTGAATGGGCCAGTCTGGTCTACAAAGTAAGTTACAACACAGTCAGAGCTACACAAAGAAATGTAGTCTTGAAAAACAAAACAAGAATGAATGAAAATGGTGGCAGCTATCACCACGAAAACAGGAACAAGGTAAAGAAAATGTACAGGACTTTATTCTTCTACACAGATATACATAAAGTTAATTTTATTAATGACTATTTTTGAAGCCAGCCATTTTGACCAATATTTAAATAACAAGCTATTTAGTATTAAAGCAGAAGGTACTGTCACAATGTGACAGAAATACAGCTCTATCCATAAATCCTTCACACAATTATATATTAAATGCTAGTTTTATTTAAGCAAAGCACCCCTACTTGTTCTAAAACATGGGTGGCTACCCCACTGGAAAAGCAAATGAGGAGACTCAGGTTGGTTTTTTCCTATCTAGAGCTGGTTTAATTCAAGTGAAGCTATTAATGTCCTCACCAGTCTGGACTTTGATGTGTCACTTTATGATTTCAAACCTAACAGCCTTAAGATAACATTTGTCTTAAATGAGAGAGAGAAAGAGAGACTCTGAAGTTTTAAGTTAGCCTAGACTTCCCGTAACAAAAATAAGCACCCACGTTAAAAGCCTTTTTAGGTCAAGGTTTAGGGAGGCAAAGTGTTTGTTTCTAAAGACAAAACTGCAAAGTGACCACTTATGCTCAATAACCTGTGGTTTGTGGTTTTTTGGTTTTTTTTTTTTTTTTTTTTTTTTATTTCTAGCCCTAAGCAATTAAATACAGACAAAATTAAACATTACTTGACCAAATCAGACTGGCTTATTAAAGTTCTGAAACCTTCCCTTGCTTTGGTGTTTGGCAAAAAATACACCTTATTTTATTCCATGAGAAGTTTTACGTCAGAGCTCTCAATCATAGGCAGAAAAACAGGCAGAAATAAGGTTCTATAAAGAGCAGCATTGAATGGAACATCACTTACAACTGTAATATATCCTCTATAACAGGAAACTAAGTTACATAAACCAGACTTTCTCAATCAGATTCAGGACTGTTTAAATGGAACTTTAAATTTGTAGCTTATTCATAATCCCAAACTGAATCTTTCTCGATCTAAACACTCTGCCATGAAACTATTGTTGGATGCCTAGATCCTTTCTCCAGCGGTTGCTGCCAGTCATCTGGATCTTTACATCCCATGTTCAAGAGAGATGTGCAAATGAGGCGCTCCCTGCTTCACCCTGAAAATAAACAAAAGTGCTGCATTTTTATTCACAATGAAAGAAACTTATGACATTGCTCAAAATTATAAATTCAACCCCCCAATTTAGTGCCAATTATCTGATTAATCAATATAGGTAAGGAAAATTAGGCATTAGTGTATGTACACAGTCTGGAATAAATCCAGAAGTGAACACAAAATACATTTTGCAGAGAACTAAGCTAATATATGTGTTTTAACAGTTAGAAAATATTAGAGCTTTATGTCCAAAAATATATTGCCTGTGTTTTTAAAACACAGCTCAATTCCTTAAAGAATCCATCATTACATTCAGAAAACAAATATAATGCAATTATTGAAATACATGAAAAATAAGTAAGAAAACAGGCACTTCACATTTATGAGAAGCATCAAGATGTATTTAGCAAACTGGTGCAGGTAAGTTAACCTATAACATCATATACTTAAGATGCAAACTATGTTACAGCCGGGTGCAGTATATAATACAATAAACCCACACGCTCAAGATGCTAAGAGGATTAAAAGTTCAAGGGTAGTGTGGGCTATACTACACAAACCATTTCTCAAAAAGCCAAAACAAACAACCACCATCAACACAGAGAGAGAGGGGGCAAGAGAGAGAGTATGTGTGTGTTGAGAAAAACCAACCAGTTGCCAATGAACTCTGAATCAATGTAAGACCACATTAAGTATAGCAGCACTCACCCCTCATCACAGAAGCATTTTGCAGGAGAAACTATTTATAGGGACCAAAGACTGGCAAAATGCAAATCAATGACTATGGGAAGCCAGCCCTACACCTAAGGCTCGGAGCATCTCATAAGAGGAGGTGGGAAAAGGATAACAGGCAGACACCCAGTGTGCCTGCTGCAGCAGTGTCTTCTAGACATGAGAGTAAACAATGCATGATGAAATCTCAATAATATGATTTCATAGCACCAGTAGACATGTCAGCATGGATGGGGGAAATGTCACAAAGTTCTACTCTAGATAAAAAGCTATAGGCTATCAGTCAGGCAGTGGTGGAACACACCTTTAATCCCAGCACTCAGGAGGCAGAGGCAGGCTGATCTCTGTACGTTCAAGGACAGCCAGGACTGTTATACTGTCATACTGAAAAATCTTGCAGGGGGACGGGGTGGTTATAGGCAATCAATGGCCTAGGGATGTGGCCTCAGATAGGACATTCAATCCCAAGCGTTCAACTCAAAATATACACAGGCAACACTAAGTAGGGTGTGTATGCAAAAAATAATCAACCAAGTAGTTATTCATTTGAGAGGAGGGAGCATGGGAAGAATTGAAAGGGAGAGGAAGGGTAGAAAAGATATAAATATAGCACTGAAGTACGAAATTCAATAAAGAAATTTCTGTGTGTGTGTGTGTGTGTGTGAATACCTACTTCAGTTTTAAAGGGATGAAATGCTAATGTAAAACATATTTTCTGTGTTATGATTACAGCTATTAAAATAGCTATAAAATTAGTTTAGACATATAGCATGTGAAGAATTATTGATGCTTCAAATTTTATTGTATTTATTATATTGACCTTTACTGAAAAGAACGGTGTCTGTCATATTATCAATTAGTAATCTGATTATTAATTGCTGCAAATTTTTCCACAGTTGTAGCTTAATTACCTTATCATCTGGGGATCTGCTGAAGTCTTATTTTCCTTTAGGACATGAATTTAGGAACAGCTCAATATACCTATGTTCTGAATATTAAAGAAAAAAAGTTAGTTTTGCCAAGACTAAAAAAAGACTTAAAGCCCCTTTTATCATACTTTAGAGAGCAACACATATCCTTTACCCTTTCCCTAATTAAATAAAAACAAAACTAAGTGTGGTGGCCACACCTCTGTCACCAGCTACTTGGAGGCTGAAGTGAAGGACCACTTGAGCCCCTTGAGATTGAGATCAGTCTGAATAACATGATGAAACCCCATCTCAAAATGATAATAACTGGGCATGTTGCCCTACATTTATAACCCTGGTACACAGGAACCCTAGGAAAGAGAATCCTGAGTGTGATGCTGCTCTAGGCTACAAAGTGAGACCCTGTCTCAAGCTAAATACATATATGAAATTAAATAAAAAAAAAAAACAAAAAAAAAAAAAACAGGTAGACATCAAGAAAAACTAACTCTAGCTGGGCGGTCCAAACACTTGGGAGGCAGAGACAAGACAGGTTTCTGTGAGTTCTACTGTAAAGAGTGATTCACTAAAGCAAGCTACAAAGAAACTCTGTCTCAAAAAACAAACATAAATATTTTTTAAAAAAAGGAAAAACTAACTCTAGACAGAAATATGCAAAATAATCAAACTAATTTTGATCCTTTGCATTTAATTTAGTAGTACTAAAGGAATGTGATTTGCCAAAGGAAAAATTCTGGGCCAATTCCCAAATAAATGCATAAACAAAGCTGTGTGACAGAAAAACCATGAGTCATACTCACGAACATGGGACCGATCCTTGAGCATAGCTGCAACGGCGTCCTCATGGGTATCAAAGTGCACATCAGCTTCTCCAGTGGCCTTCCCACTAGAGCTGTACTCCATGGTGATTCTCACAGGCTTCAGCGGAGCAAAGAACTACACACAGGCAATCAAAACAAACAACTTTGCTATGCACTGAAAATTGTTGTCACCTTTTCCCTGGTTAGCAATACACAGTGATACACTAAGTCAGGACACTGTGAAAATGGCCAGTGAGATGACTCAGCAAGTAAAGGCACTTACCCACCAAGCCCCATATCCCTGGACCCACATGGTGGAAAGAAAAATTCCACTCCCACTAGGTGACTTCTGACATCCATATATAGACTATGTCTCCTGCCCCCACCCCAAATTCCACACAGTAGTTTTTAAAAGATGTCAACAAGTGGCAGAATTCCAGTCAACCATGAGAACACAATCATTACTCCACAGAAGAAGCTAGGTTCAGGAGGTTAGTTGTATGAAGTGCACTTCCAACTTGTGATGGGAGTATCAGGACACAACCCACTGAACATCAAGGAACATGCCAACATTTGCTGAATCTATGGGCCTAAACTAAAAGTAAATAGATTGAATCAACTTATTCAAGAAACCAAACTTCCTTACTGATTATTAAACCTACACCTTATTTGTCTCTATAAAATCCTGATGTTTTTCACCTTAAATTATAATATACTTATCTGAAGTGATAGGGTCTAACTACACTGGCCGCCGAGCTGGCCCCAAACTCCTGGGATCATGTCCTGTGTCAGCCACACACTGCAGCTACATAAGAGGGAGCAAGCCTCTGCTGAGATGGAGATGCTAGCTAACAAAGGACACTGCACACGAATGGAGAGAGAAATAGGAGAAAACGAGGAGGAGGAAAGAAAAACACGTGCAACCAGGAAGATTGGTCCCGGTTAGGAATAGAAGACAGGAAAGAGAGAGAGAGCATAAAAGAGGGAGCCAATATTGGTTTGAAGATAAAATTGAACACAAAGAAAGGTATAGAGAACTACAAGACTGCTGCCAACTAACAATTTGAGCTTCCATGGAAAGGCTATCATAAATGCCCTTCCTGGAGAGTGAGATCAACAACTAACTTATCCATGGAGCCCTCAACTAATATCTGTTGGAAACAGGAGCAAACACCCATACATAAACACTGAGTCGAAATAGAACCCAGATGCAGATGGAGAAGACAAGACCAGGCGGCAGAAACACATAGAGACAGCTTACCTGAACAAGGAGAAGCTAATGGGCCCCCAGACTGATAGCTGGGAAGCCAGCATGGGACTGACTCAGGCCCCCCTGAATATGGGTCTCATCCAGAAGGACTGAGCAGTCTAAGAGACCTCAGACAATGGAGCCAGGATGAATCCCTGGTGCACAAAAGGACCTTGAGAACACATCCCCCATGGAGGAATAACTGTCTTAATCTAGAGACAGGAGAGAAGCCCTAGTCCCTACTTCACATGACCTGTCAGATCTACATGACCCCAACTGGATGGCATTCCCCTACATACGGAATTGAGGTGGGGGGATGGGAGGGGAGGGTGGTTAGAGTGCATGTGAGAGGGCAGAGAGGGTAAAAGGGAGGGAAGGAGGGAGGGAGGGGGAATTGGGATCAACATGAAAAATAATAAATTAAGTTAAAAAATGCTTTGACTCCCAAAAAAAAGGACACTGCACATATAGTGTTTTTCCCCCCAAACTTCTTCAAATGCCATACAAGTCCAATCTAGATGGCTCAGGCCTGAGTCTTACTGGCACTCACATTTATAATGTCCTGGGCATTGGCTTGGAAAGGCAATCCTCTCATATGGACAAAGTGGAGTGAAGGCGTAGATCCAAAATCAACAGTCTCTGGGAGTTTTTCTGACATCTCCTTAGGCAGTTCTGAGGAGGAAGGACGACAAAAAAAAAAGTCAAGGACACAAGCTTCCAGAGCTATTAGCAAATTATAATTAGATATGACCTTTTTAAGTTGAAATCCTCAATTCATCTTGACCCAGAGCACAAGAGCTTTAAAAGGCAAAAACCTGCAATTTCTGCTACTTTAACAGGCCTCACCTAAACAACCATTAAAAGCACTTAGGAACTCAAACCATTCCCAAATGAAGACTTGACCTCATACGACAATAAGATAAAATGACCACAAATCTCATTAAACTAAAATAAAAGAACTGTCTCAGTTGCAGGTACAGAAAACAAAAAGATAGCAAACATAGTGACAGAATAATCCCCGGGTATTGAATCTATAAGCATTTCCAAATTTCAAAGATACCAAATGTTGCTCTGGAGTTACAGATGAGAGAGAATTAAATCCAGAGGCAGACAAAAAAAAGTTTTTAGTCATCATCCCTGTTCTCTATCCCAGTAATCTCCCACTTTAGCAAAAATGTTACCATTTTACTGTGGTCTGCTACATTTGCACAGTCTGGCTTTTGAAGCAGTCCACAAGATGATCAGGGTAAAAAAAAAAAAGGTATTGCTTGAGTAATAGCTCTGTGGTCAAGAACACTGGTGGCTGTTCTATTAATAGCACCCACATGGTGGCTCACAACCACCTGTAACTCCCTTTGTCCCAGGGATCTGATAGCCTCTTCTGGCATCTGAAGGTACCATATGATATACAGATAGCCAGCCACACACAATAAATAAATAAATAAATAAATAAATAAAATGATAAAAACTAATAGAGGACTAGAAAGATGGCTCTCCAGGGGTTAGCATGTCCTACAGCAGAGGACCCAAGTTCAGTTTTCAGAACCTGTATCAGGCAGCTCACCCTTGCTTGTAACTCCAGCTCTAGGAATGCCCTGTGGGCTCTCTCTCTCCGTGGGCACTACTAGCAAATGTACACAGACACACATACACTAATCTAAAAGTTAAAAATAATTTTAAAAAGTAATAGTAGCTGTCAGTCAAGATTGCCAACCCTGACAACCTAAATTCTATTCCTGGGTCACCTGGTAGAGAGAACCAACTCGCAAAGTTAATTCTCTGACCTCCACACATGCAAGGTCACATGGATTCATATACACATACAAAATACGTGCAATTTCAAAAATATATATATATAATTAAACTTTGGTGTATCTAGAAAAAGTACATTCTATGACACATTCTGTAAGGAGTAAGGTTTTTTCCGCCCGCCGACGAGTCTTGTCCCGCCGCCGTGCCAGCCCCAAATAACACACAGAGACTCTGTATATGATATAATTTTGTTGGCCAGTTACTAGTTTCTTATCGGCTAGCTCTGTGTTAATTATTAACCGATTTCTATGTATTTCCACGTGGTCTTACCAGTGAGAGGCGGCTGGTGGTTCTAGTCTCTCCAGACTCTCCATGTTGACCCCCCTTCCTCCTTCCTATTTTCCTTCTTGTCTCCTAGTCCCTCCTATCTTCCTTTCCTATTGGCCAACAGTGCTTTATTCATTAACCAGTATGAGAAACATATATACATAATGACATCTCCCATCTGTAGTGGGATATTCACTCGCATTTCCTGTCTACTCTAGTATTGTTAATTTCCTTCTCAGGTCTTGATGAGGTTGAAGATTAAACTATCACAACTCTCTTCCTAGTTAGATATATTAGGTACTAGACTTACGTTTTCCAGCTTAGGACAACTCTATTGTAAACTCCATTATGCCCTCACCCTAGGACTAGATATGTAGGTCATTTTGTTCTCGATTTTCCTTTTCTTGGGGCACACTTGTTATTCACTGTTTTGTATATAGTTTTGTATTAAGCCTAAATCTTTTCTTTAGACTAAAAGGGGAATTGTAGTGGGATATTCACTTTGTCTCCTTCTGTGGCACTGACCACACCCATTGGGGGGTGGAGCCATGGGCGGAAGTGACCTGTGGAAGGAGGTCGGAGGGGGCCAGGAAAGGCTCTCTGGCGTGACTCGGACAGGAGAGGATCGGGTTGAATTTCCTGGTGTTCATCTGTCTAGGTTGTAAGTTATTTCTCCCTGAATAAACATCTATTCGGCCTATTTGTTTATCCTGATCCTTATTTACCGCAATACCCATCATCTCCTCTTTTTTTGTCTAAATAAAAAGGAGGGTTTTAACCTTAACATAGCAAAACAATTATCAAATAAGAATCACAGTTAACAATATTTAGTTCATTAACATTTAGCAAGATTACATATATACATAATGACATCTCCCATCAACATTCAATCTTTAACTTTACCCCCCTGTTCTGGATCTCATAATTTCATATAAGCTGACATGAAAACAGTTCAACAAAACCTAAACAAACAAGGCAATCATGAGAGGCAGGCCCTTACCTATCTCTTTATCATTTTCAAAAGCTGTCATAGGCCGAATATCCTCATTTACTTCATGTTCCTCAAATACCACTTCTGGCTCAGTTATATATTTAGCAGTAGGAGAAGATACCATTTTCTTTGCCTTATGAGATCCAACATGTGTTCGAACTTCATTCCTTCTGCTTGGAAATATCTCTATGTATCTGTACGTAACAAAATGAAAAGGCACAAATGGTGTAGAGTAACTTTACAATAAACTTAAGAGAATTAATTAGGTATGTGTGGCTACAGGAATGGCTTAGCAGTTAAGTGCACTTGCTGCTCTTCCCCCAGAGCCCACCTGGGGCAGCTCAACCATCTGTAACCCAGCACAAGGGAATCTGACTTCCTCTCTGGGCATCTTGGGGCACTCGCACACATGTGTACACACACAACATACTACTTTTTTTAAAAGGCCAAAGTAACCAGTTATGTGTTATATTTGCACAGCTTATAAAACATGGACATCCAAAGGTAACAGCAAGAATAAAAAGTCCACCAACACATTAGTTTATGACAAAGTGCTTTCAAAAGAATAGGTCAACATGCCAATTTTAATAAAATTTTTGCCCCAAAATATCAGGCTCATTTACATATGTTTATGTATTATATGGCACTTTTTATTTAGGTAGTTTTTAAGTATGTGTTTATTGAAAGAACTGTTTATTATCACTATTGTTATTATTATTGGGTTTTTTCCAGGACAAGTTTTTTTTTGTTGTTTTTTTTTTTAATGTGTAATAATAGTCCTGGCTATCCTGGAACTCTCTGTAGACCAAGCTGGCCTCAAACTCAAAGAGATCCGAGTACCTCTGCCTCCCAAGTGCTGGAATTAAAGGTATGTGCCACCTCTGCCCAGCTGTTGAGTTTATTAAATACAACCTTTTGAAAGTTTAATTCTCACAGTATTTAAGTGATTTTTGTGCAAACATTCTACAACTGTGAGCTCCCTGCTTCCCCCTTTCAAATGAAAAACTTATACACTAACATCACATCCTACCTACTTAACTATTCTAAACAGTATTTTGCTTCATGAGAAGTATACTAAAATGTGTACATGAAAAATCATCTGGAAGCTGGGCATGGCAGCACATAGATTCTTTAAGAGGATCCTGAAACACACTACCTTTGAAAAGTTTCTTTTGCTTTTGATTTCAAAAGGAGCTAAGTAAAAAGCAATGAAATAGACTAGAGATGGCTCAGCAGTTAAGAGCTTGTTCTGTGCACCCAGATGGTGGCTCACAACCATGCTAATTCCCGTTCCAGGGGATGACGCCCTCTTTCAATATTCCTGGGTACTAGGCATGCATGCAGTGCACTGATAATCATGTGAGCAAAACATAAGTAAACCTAAAATATAATGTTTTAAAGAACATAGCAAAATAGTGATTTAAAAGTATGCATTTTCACTAGCTCTCCAAAAGAGAAGTTAAAACACACATTTCCTACCTCATTATATACATTCTAACTAATTCAATATGAACATGAAACACCCACCATACAAGACAACTGACATCTTCAAAACACTGATCATCTGATCATCATGTCTTTAAAAGGAGAGGGACTGGGTTAGGGAGAAGGCTCAGATGGTTAAGTGCTAATTGCACTTGAACAGAGATCTGAGTTCAGACTCCCAGTACCCACGGAAAAAGCTAGGTATGGTAACATATCTTTACCCTCAGAGCTGGAGGGAAGGAGGGCAGAGGCAGGTGGATCCCAGGGGCCTACTGGCCATCAGTCTACCTAATAAAACTCCAGGTTCACTGAGACCCATCTCAAATAAGTGGAAAGAGCTTGAGGAAGATACAATGTTAACAGCTGGCCTCCAGCATCCACAGGTGCAAGCATGGGCCGGCAAGCACACCTACCACACGCACACACATAAAAAGGAGAGGGACTCCCTTCTGTGGTGGCTCATGCCTTTAATCCCAGAAGGAAGAGCTCTTTCTGTGAGTTCAAGGCCAACCCAGTTTATAGAGTGAGTTCCAGGACAGCCAGAACTACACAGAGAAACCCTGTCTCCAAAAAAAAAAAAAAAAAAAAAAAAAAAAAGACAGGGACTCCTTATTAATGTGGATGTTCTCTAGCTTCATAAAATTAGTGATCTATCAAATGGCCTATATGAACTGCTCAGGTTCTGGTCACAAATCAATTATAAAGATTTTTGTTACAAATGGAAAAAATGTGATTGTGGACAGCTATTAAATAATCAAATAGTGCTTATTGTGTTAAATATTGTGATTATGAAAGAAAACTTCATTAAAGACACATACTAAAACATAAACACCAGAAAGCAGAAACAACGAAGTTTTGCCTGGTAGTGGTGGTGCATGCCTTTAATCCCAGCACTTGGGAGACAGAGGCAGGTGGATCTCTGTGAGCTTAAGACCAGGCTGTTCTACAAAGCTAGTTCTAGGACAACCAAGACTACACAAAGAAGCCCTGTCGAAAAACAAAACCAGGTTCTGGAGAGATGGATCATTGGTTAAGAGCACTGCCTGCTTTTCCAGAAGACCCTGGTTCAATTCCCAGGCACCCACATGGTAGCTCACAGTTGCTCACAGTTGTCTGTAACTCCAGTTCCAGGGGATCCCATACCCTCATACAGATATATGTGCAGTTAAAAAAATCAGTGCACATAAAATAAAAATAAATCATTAAAACAAACAAACAAAAAAAAAATACTATAGCTATAATCGGATTTTAAAGGACTTTTATTTTCACTTAGACCTCCAACTCAACATTTTCAAAAGTTGTTGATTTGAGTGATGCGCATTTAGGGACTCATCATGGTACCCTAGTTTTCCATGTTTGGATAATCTGACAGTCACAGTACAATGCACTTGTAAAAATGACTTGACACCTCCGCTAACAGCTGCTTCACTCACCTGTTACCAATTTCTTCCCTGTGCTTTAAAAGCGCTTGGTTGGCCATTTCTGGTTCTTCAAACTGTACATAGGCTTCCCCTGTTTTTCTTCTTCCTCTATAGTCCATCACAAAAGTAATGTCTACTATGTTCAATCCTAGAATATAAAAGAAATACAAATCAGTGCTGCCAACAAGAGCTTTCTTCATTAGAGTTAACAAGTTTACTCATGCACTAATAAAATCTAGATACTATTTGCCAACTTCAAAGTTGTACAAACTCAAGCACAATCTTTATGTAACCCAAACCCCAGAACCTGTCAGGTAAAGACAGGAAGATACAAAAGCAAGGTCAGCCTTGGCTAGAATGTTACAAATATATACAGGTGAATACTGGTTATATTTTAGGAAACAGTATTTAAACAAGCAAAGTTACTGACAGGCATATTTTGTAGCTAGAAGCTAGACACTTCGTTTTCTTCCTCCTCCTGGTGTTGGGATTATAGGTGTGCACCCCCACACCCTTCTTATGTGGTACTAGGATCTAATATGGGGATTTGTGAACGCTAGGCAAGCATTCTACCAACTGACCTACATCCCTAGCCCAGATGCTTTTAAGTCATGTAAATTATTATTGTCTTGGACAAGTATGACCACTATTTTAAGAAAATAGTTTCTCCATAGTTGAAGAATGTCATGGAACTGCTCTGGAAGTTGACATGACCCAAAGATCTGCCTGAAGGGCAGAAACACCTCAAAGGTACAAAGGGAAGAATCACGATGGGAAGAGAATGTGAGTGGAAACAGGCCACGGTGGCCAAGCACCTGCAAAGAAGTCAACAATATCTTTCTCATTGCAGCTGTAAGGAAGTCCTCTCAAGCGGACCACGCCGTCATTTACCACAGGTGAAGACTTGACATGCAGGCTCTTCATTAAGGCATCCACATCTTCATTATTTATCTCATATACTACGAGAAAAGAAAGCACAAAAATGGATTCAAAACTTATATGACAAAGGAAACCTAACTTTAAAAAAAAACAAATCAAATTATACCTTATTATCCCTTATGCATTTCTGTCAAGAATTTAACAAGGAACATTTATTGAATATTTTACTATTTTCCAGTTATAACCTATTTAGTCCTCACAACCTTAAGATGAAGTTGGGCAATACTTTAGACTTAAAATTGAGACTGAGCCAAGGAGACAGTTTGTTCAGCAGTTCCAAGTGCACTGGAACCCACAACGGAAGGAAAGAATCAACTTCCTGGAGCTGTTCTGTGGTATCCCCATGTGGACCCTACCACACATACATATACACACATATAATCAGAAAAACTATCTATAAAAGAAAGAAAAGAAGACTGGGTGATGGTGGTGCACGACTTTAATCGCAGCACTCAAGAGGCAGAAAGAGGCAGGTGGATCTCTGTGAGTTCAAGGCCAGCCTGGTCTCTGTAGAGTTCCAGGACAGGCTCCAAAGCTACACAGAGAAACCCTGTCCGAAAAACTAAAAACAAAAGCAAAGCAAAACAAAACAAAAAGTTAAAGTCTAAAGATCCCCAAAAGTCGGAACCTGAGCTCACACACCTTCCACATAGCGCTGTCCCATGTACATCCGGTGCTTTTCTAAGGCCTTCTGCACATCCTGCTCCGACTCCATCTCAATTAAGGCATCACCCCTTCGTTTCCCATCTCTATTTAAGAGGAAATGGATTCCATTCTCACTGTTGCGGATTCTGCAGTCTAAGAATACACAATTAATGTCTCAATTTTACATGTCACTACAATGCAATTTTCAACAATACAGGAACTAAAAATGCCTACTAAATTCTTTCAATTTTTTTCATGGACAATATACTTTTATCATAATTTCCCCTCCTCCAAATACTCCACTCCCAGATTCTTTACCTAAACCCATCACTGAAACCATTCAAATGCTAATGAAGATGGTGGCAGAGTCTGAAAATATCCCAAGGAGAAAAGGTAAGTGGCACGCACACACCTTTAATCCCAGCACTTGGCAGGCAGAGGCAGGTAGATCTGAGTCTGAGGCCAGCCTGTTCTACAGAAGAAGTTTCAAGACAGGGCTACACTAGGAGACCGGGAGGGGCAGGGGGGGGCAAACCAATCGCAATCACAGAAGCTCATTATTGCCCACAACTATTAGATGGCAACTCAAGTATATTCCTAATCATCTTCCTTTAAAAACATATCCATAAACTTCCTTTTACAAAAATAACCACTACAATAATCTAACTTCCCCCCTTTTCCTTACACTAAAAGACACCTTTATACGGCCTATTTCTTATCATGCAAACCCAAGGCTTAAGAAATGAGTGGCTTATAGAATGTCTGATTCACAAGACACCATCGACTTTACAGGAGTTGATTTAAAATCAGAGAGGTAATAAAAACTAACCACACACTGGGAAATCTCCCAAACGTATTAATAATACAACTCAGTGCAACTGATCCTCTAAATGTATGGCATGAAGAACTACTCCTCTATAAATGCCCATGAACATAGTCATGCATATAGCAAAACTTGAGTGTTAACTGATTTCACTCTGCAATTTTAACATTACTTACTTCTGTTATAATCAGTCTTTAAATCTATCTGCACTATGGACACCCACAGTGGCAGAAGGTACAAACGGGCAACCAGCCAGAGTAGAGGCCATTCCTCACCCTCAGAGCTGCCTCCAGAGCATCTAGACTTGGATTTTGTAGGACTACCTTCCACTCAGACCAAACTGCTTACTTACAACACATGTAAGATATACCTGAGAAAAAGTTAAGGACATCTTCCACAGTGCAGGACCAAGGTAGTCCCTGAGCTCGAATGAGATACACATCGTCCACCTCCTGTCCTAATTTGGACGGGCTCAACTCGTACTCAGGTAGGGGCGGGAGGTCTTCCAGGTAGGTCGTTTTGGACTCCTTTCAAGAAAAAAGAATTGTAAAGACATCTCTTGTACAACCTACCTAGAAATGCTTACACCTACAAACAGTTGCACATGATGTTATTTCAGATGAAAAGCACTTGAATCCATCCTCTGGTTTTGTTTCTTCATATGGCCCAGGCTGCCCCAACCTCACCATAATCCTCCTACCTCAGCCTCCAGAGTGCTGGCTACAGGCTTACTATACCAATGTGGCTTTGTTCTGGGCTAGTATTTTAAGAAAATGTACAAGTACACGCACTAAAGGCAAGTCTGCCTTCCAAACACTAGCAGTAAGAGTGTGTCCACTAAAATCAGTACAATGGTCCCTTCAATTGACAATACCTAAGGGCCTCATACACACAAAACACATCAGGCCATCATCTCAAAGCACTGACTACCTAGAACAAAGCAAGATAAAGAACAAGATGTGTTGTGTTATAATTAAAATATAAAATATTGGAAAAAAATTTAAAAACAGGAAAAAAAAAGAATAAAGATATGAGATAGCCTTACGAGAAAAGATAGGACGTTCCGATTTGAGAGGCCTGGGGAAAGCAACGTTTGAAAAAATGTCAGTTCCATCTGTCTAAATTGGACGGTAAAAATAAGGGCCAAAGACGAGCTGGCAAAAGGAACTCAGTACACATAGTAGGGGATGCCCTTGCGTTATTGGACCTAATGAAGGAAATTTCACTTGGTAGGCAAAGGAAGCCAATAAAAAGACTTTGGGACGTGGGTAAAAGAGCAATGTCAGAACAAGTGGATACGGGAAAGAACGTAAAAGGCAAAGGAGGCAGTAGGCTGAGACACTGCTCCTTTGCGTGTTTTCCCAGAATTCCATAAACATCTCATGCTTTTTGCAGAAAAGGGCAGCGAAAAGTATTGGGCCAGGATTCAAATCAATTATTTCAGTTACTGGCAGACATCAGCCATGCAGATCAACCTCCCAGATATCATTAATTCAAGCAGAAGCAAAACTGAATTAAGATAAACATGGCCTGTGGCATCAGGGAGTAGGTAGACCAAAAGCATACGGACACTTCCCGGATGCCACGTAGGACAGACACTTCACACACAGAGGACAAAATATTTGCGATATGAATTTTTGAAGTGTCTTTCTTCAAAGACGGTTAAGTATAAGGAAAAAGGGAGTAGGTTCACAAGCGAAGCGCCAGAATCCTCACCCACCGTCACCCCCGCCCATCACACGCTCTCCCAATTTCCCACGGTCTCCGCAGAGCTCCCCGCGTCCGCGGAGACCCACGGCACGAAAGGCCCTTCCGTCACCGCAAGTGGACTTGCAGAGGTGACCTTCAGACGGGTGGCCGGTCGCCTCTTACCGCCGACGCGGGAGAGGGGCGCGCGGGGCCGTTCCCAGGCTAGCCCACGCTCCCGTGCGCAGGACTGCGCGTCGGTGGCCGGCGGAGGAGGCCTGAGCCGCCCGGCCCTACCGCAGCCACCGCACGGCCGGCCCCGAGCCTCGGCGGGCTCCGGCCTCTCAGCTTCAACCTCCAGCGGACAGAAGGCTAGGGGGACGCGGGATGGGGGGCGTCGGCGGGCCCCCCAAAACCTACCATGGGCCCGTCGGGAAACAAGGCCTCAACATTCACCCCAGCCACACTTACACTGCCCAACCGCCCAGACTCGGAGGGAACAAAACAAGGAGAAAAGCCGGGGCCGGGAGAGCGTCCCTTGTCCCCGTGCCCAATAGGAGGACGGAGCGGGAGGGAGGCGGGGGTGCGGCGCGTGCCGCGGATCCCCGGGCGCGCACGCGAGGCGCACGCGGACGGACGCGGGCACACGGAGGGCGCGCGGCCGCCGAGGGTCCCCCCACCCCACCCCGCGCGCTCGGTGACACCTACCTGGCCGTAAGCCCGCGCCGGGCCCGAGGCGGCCGCCAGCGATCGCGGGAGCAGCGGGGTGCGCAGGGCTGAGTAGGACGCGGCGGCGGCCGCGGCGGCGGAGGGCCGGGCAGGGACGGGACCCGCCAGTCTCCCGGCGGCCGCGGGCCCGAGCTGCAGGCCGCGCGTCTGCGAGGCGGCGGCCGCGGCGGCCCCGAGGAGCAGCAGCAGACGGCGGCGGCCCGAGACGCCCGACGGGAAGGTGCCGGCGGCCGAGTAGAAGGGCAGGCAGGCGGCGCCGGTGCGCCGGCAGCTGCTGCAGTTGCAGCCGCAGCCCCGGAGCAACGCCCCTAGCACCCAGCGCGTCCCGGCCATGGGCTCCCGAGGCGACGAAGGGACCGGAGGTGGCCGCTGTGGCGCGAGCCGAGGGGAAGTGGAATCCAGGGCGGGGGAGGGGACACCGCGCACATGCGCTGCGCGCACCGGGAGCTGACACCGACTCCCGGAGGTGGAAGAGAACCACCGACTCCGCCTGGGCTCCGCCCTGTGGGCGGGGCTGCCTGGCCGGTAGGGGTAGGGACTGGGTGACCTGAGAAGTGGCATCAGGTCCAGCCAGGCTCTCCTGCTCAGGGTAGAATGGAGATGTTTCTGGAAGGAATATGCCACCTAACTCTTAAAAAAAAACGTTTTGGAACGATGCTGAGGGGTCGCTGGGATACCCTCAACCTTGAGATAGGTACAGAAGGCCAACTCTGATTTGAACTGAAGCACTGATTTTTTAATTATGTGTGTATAATTTATATGTTATTTATAATAGATACATGTTATGAAACCTTAATAAGACAGAATAGTCACAAGTTGACGTGCAGAGATTTGCAAATAAATAATGAGTGGTTGTGCAGTTTTCTTCCTGTGGCCAGGACCTGTCAAAGGCAAAAAAGATGAAGACAAATGGGAGTTCTTGGGTTTAAAAACGGAGAGGCTGGTAGTATGGGAGAAATCTCTGTGCGTGCGGTGTAGCTTGGTGGCAGGGTAATAACCTAGATTGCCCCAACTTCTGCATAGGCATGAGAATACACACACACACACACACACACACACACACACACAAAGTGTCCCTTCTGTAGACCAGGCTGGCCTTAAACTCACAGAGATCTACCTGCCTCTGTCTCCCAAGTGCTGGGATTAAAGGCATGTGCCATCACAACCAGCTTTTAATCAGGAATAAAACCAAGGACTCAAATAGAAAACTCCTTTTTACTTAGAGGAAGTTGGGAGGAATATAAAGGAAAAAAAGACTCTGGAAGATTATTTGTTTGTCTAACAAATATGCACTAAATTCTCTTTCTGTTCCATGAACAATGAGTGCTATATGTGCCTTATACACTCAGAGATGTCACAGGCTTACAGGTGAACTATAAAGTGATGTTTACATGGTAAATTTTGTAAATTGAAACTAATAACAATTTGGAACATTGTAGCACTCGTGGTCATGATGGCACCTAGGAGGCAGAAGCAGATCTCTGTGGGTTGGAGGCCCACCAGGATTACAGAGCAAATTGTGGGTCAACCAGGGCTGTCACGGAACAATGCTATCTCAAAAACAAAGAAACGTATAGAAGTCCACTATGAGTGGCCCGGGTGTGTGTGTGGGGGGGGAGGTCTGCAGCAAGCACTCTTTAATCCCCTGGCGCAGCTCTCCAGCCTATGTTATTCTTTTTCAGATCAGAACAAAGCAGAGGTGAAGAAATAAAAATAAAAGCCCAAAAAGGTGATTTGTAGGTGAAGAAAGGGTTAAGGCAATCCAGGAAGTATAGGTCAAAAAGTTGAGTTCTGTTTGGATTTAATTTGATGCTATCAGAATGATGTTGGGAAGGGCTTAGTTGATAAGGGCTAAGTAGCCTAGAGAAGCCAAATGGGCTTGATATATGATGAGTTCCAAGGAAGGTGAAAACCCAGGCTCAAAGGTCAGGTACAGAGATCACTGCCATTTTCTCTGTAAGTTAATCATAAAACACTGTTTTCTGGTTTTGTTGTAGCAGCCTCTTAGCCATAGCATTTTACAGGTAAAGCTAGTCTACATTGTTGGAATCACTAGTTATGGGAGAGTAAGGAGAAAAGCAATCAAGCCCTCGAAGCTCTACAGAACACATTACAATGGGATGGGGGAGGGCGATAGAAGGAGATAATTGCTCTGGTTGCTAATAAAGGAAGCGTTCATTTTATTGTCTGTGCCCCTCCATCCTGAGAGGTGAGCCTGCTCTTCCTCTGATGTGTAATGAAGCCGAATTTATCTCAAAGGACCCCCCCATACACAACCCTCTTTGCATTTGAAAGGAGCTGAAAATCTTGAGCTACTCAAGCCCCATAAAGAAGTGGTGCCCATTTGTGTAACCTTGGGTTGAGGCACTAGTCAACATCTGAGATTAAAGGATGTTTATTAGGTTTAATGGATGCAGCAGAGCTTTAAGAATTGAGGCTACCAGTTATTTCCAAGAAGAGACAAAGAAATAACCTTTGTCACCACCATCACTCCCCTCCCAATCCTTTTATCTGAGAGAAACCCTGGTCCTTGAGAGTCACCTACTAGGACTCATCCGTGGTGCAGGGACATGTGTCTTAGTTCAGCTTTGTCAGTTGGCCTATATTTGCTATGAACATATCTATACGAAACAGTTTTTGTCTCTCACGTAGATTCCTTTTGTGATGGAGTAAAATATACTTATTAATGATTGACAGCTCACAAACTAGTACATTTCCAATTGCTGCCACATCTCCTCTGGTTAAAACTGAACCAGCCCTCTGGGAAAGACATCAGTCAATTACCTATTTGAATGAAATTTCCTGTCAAGAAAGAATAATTTCAATAAAAAGTGAAACGGATGTTTTGTGTTTTTTTTTTAATTCCAGTTATTAATTTTGCATGGTTGGGGCTGGAGCATGTAGAGGTCAGAGGACAACTTGCCAGATGTGGGTCTCTTTCTCCACTGGGGCTCAGGAATCAGGTTGTCTGACTTGGCAGCCTGCCCCGTAGTTTTTCTTCTTGAGACTGAGATACCTGTGAGTATCTGTGTTGTGCAGTCACAAAACTGAGATACCTGTGAGTGCTGAGTCAGCACTACTATGAGAAGTGCAGTCTGGGGATACTTAGAAAATGGAATGATTGAGCATGGCATCTTCTAGCCACATTCATGGAGGCAGGGTGGAAGAGGTGTTTGCTGTTCAACTGCTGAGCAGTATGTCTCATATTTCTCCTAGAATGGTAAACACTAGTTTATAAACATCGAGCCCCAGACACAAAATGGGGAGGACCTATGAACTCTTTCTTCCTCAATAGGCACCACTCTCAATGACCATCACTTCTATATAGATAAGACATAAACAGGATAAAAAGAACCGGGGAGACAGTAAGAATGTGTCTGCACCCATACAAGTGTGTATTCATGCTGCCTCTACCCTCTGCTTACGCTAGTGCAAGAGTGTGTCTGCACATATTCAAGTGTGCATGCACACGGATTGCTTCTACCCTCTGCCTACTCCAGTGCAAGAGTGTGTCTGCACACATTCAAGTGTGCATGCACATGGATTGCTTCTACCCTCAGCTTACTCTACGGTCATCCAGTCCTTCAGGTAGATATTGTTCCCACTTTCTTGTGTGTCCCTTTCAGGATGGTCATGCAGTGGTTTTTCACTTGTAGATTTGGTGACTCCTTCTGGGATTCTGACAAGTTTTGTTCCTGCTATAAAAAAACAAAACAAAAAAATCTTTTATTCATGTGCATAGGGGTGTGTGTGTGTGTGTGTGTGTGTGTGTGTGTGTGTGTGTGTGTCAGTGTTCTGAGGTCAGAAGAAGCATCGTATCTCCTGGAACTGGAGTTTCAGTCTGCTGTGAATTGTCTGACATGGGTGCTGGAAACTTGGGTCACTTAACCACTGAGCCACCTCTTCAGTCCAAACACCTATGCATTTGAATACTTTTCCTGTGTGTTTTAACTGTATTTGTAGGTTTCTTTTACAACAAGCACTAGAAGCCAGAGGAAGCACACTTCCAATAATCTATATTGTCATTTAAATAAGTCATACCTTTACTTATAGGATAACATGGAAAATGATTCAACTAGTATACAACTCCACTATGCTCATTTGTAGTCATTTACTCAGCACTAATATATTATTCTATCTGCTTTATTAGGGAGAGTGAAGCTGTTGCCACTAGTGCTTCTGTGGGGACTCCACTCAGGGCAGATACAAGAAAAATGCTCCACCAACCACAGAGCTACACCAGCAGCCCCTCTACTGACTACAATAACCATAATTCAGTCTAGATTTGGGGATGGGATCAACTGGAATTCACAGGCCTAACTTCCAGGTTTGGTTCGTTGTTTGTTTATTGTTTCTATGTAGTTTTAGTTGGTTGGTTTGAGACAGGGTCTAACTATGTAGCCCTAGCTGGCCTGAAACTAGCTCTATTTAGACCAGGGCAGGTCTCCAGTTCTCTGTGTGGATCAGGCTGGCCTTAATGTCACAGAGATCCACCTGCCTCGACCTTCTGAATGCTAGGATTAAAAGTGTGTGTGCCACCACACCTGGTTTGGTAGGTTATTTTTGTTTTGTTTTTATGAACATAAAATAGTTGGGAGACTATGATATCATAAGGACTGTCTCCAGAAATTTCCAAGAAAGTTAATTAATTGTATTCAATACCATGGCCACCATCCATGACACTCCTTATACTCTGTGGGTATTGCCTGAAGTTCTAGGTCTCTCTCCATTAAATGTGCATGCTGAGGGTATTTCAGTAGTGTGCCTACCCATACTATCATCTGGCCCTTTGCTGTCTCCCACACAAGGTTTGTTGTTCTGTCATTCGTTGAAATTCTGTTACAGATGGTGAATCTGATTAATCCTTTTTAATGGCATGGAGTCAGGACTTCTCTATTCTGAGATAATTCCTTCCAGAAATGATAATGCACACATTTTGTGGTAGGAAAAAAAATTGTGAGTATAGTTCTTTCTTTCAAGGTTCTCACAGTATGGAAAACAGATAGGAAGCCAACTGTAGAAGGATGCAATTAGTAATTAGTTGCTGTAATAAAGTGTCCTTAGGATGCCATGGGACTTCAAAGGAAGGGCATTTCACATGCTTATGGAATGGAAGATGACAAGAAGTTGACATCAAAGTTGGATTGTAAAGAAATAAAGATTAACAAAATAAAGGAGAGAGTTGCTATTCAAAGCCCAGGGAACTTTTTTCTTCTCCCCTAAAAAAGAACCCGGAGAATTCTGTGAATTTCAAATGGTTTATAGCAGGGATTTGTGACTGGCTAGAAGAGTTAGGAATATTAAAAGGCCTCATGCATGAGTGTGTGTTTGTTTTCTTTGTAGCATCGGGCATCACACCCAAGGCCTTGGTCACACTGGTTAAGTGCTCTGCCATAGGAGGACATCTTT